GTACAGCACAAAACGTCCCGGTAGTATGAAGTTTGAAGTTTCGTGTAATTTAAGTCTTACAGCGATAATCATACACGTGATTGCGAATGGTAAACGCGGACGACTAATGAGACGTCAAAGCGAACAGGTAATTATTAACTTTTCTTTCGCGATTGACCTATTAAACGATTTAAATAAATACCATCACCGTAAGTAATCTGGCCATCCTTCCAGAAATGAATATTAATTATTTTTTCGTTCCTTTTATTATACTAGCCACGAACGAGGTACATTTTCTATGCAAGTTTAACCATCCGCCGTGTGCGCGCTCACGCTTCGTATCGTACGCTTTGAAATCCTCGACTTATCGTATTATCTCGTAATCCTCGGTTGAAAGTCCGACGAAACGATAATAATGAAACAACAAGTAGCGAAACTAGCATTCAGACTAGCAATGGAGAACAGCAATAACTACAACGTCTCGTGTCTTTTACTGCTGTGCACTAAAACCAACTTTCGTACACATTCGTTGCACCGAGACAGTAAATAGGAAACGCGGTTTAAAGCTTCCGAGTGAAATGATAGTTTATCAATATCAATACCTCGACGGTTATCTTTGCATTATTGTTCTTTATTTCAATGGAACAGAACCGCGCGGTGCTAAATAACACTAAACCAGCGCGCGTTATTCATAGTAATTTTCAATTAAGAGTGAACATAAGATAACGAGACGAAGATAAACGATTTTGTTAATGAACAAAAGAATCGGTGTTGCAAGAAAAAAGAGACGAAACTGATACGCGGATTAGTCATTCGAATTAATCAGCGAGACTTTCATTGAGCAACAATATTGATCTTTTGGAACACGTAGCTAAAGCTTTTTCTACCTGCTTTGTGTTTGAATTTTTTTTTTATTAATGTTACAGTGTGTTTAGAACACAGAATATTCATTAACTCTCAATTAGAGAGAAGTTGTTACGCACACATCTTATTTATTCTATAACAAAAGGTAAAACTAGACTCAGATGCATTTGCTGATAAGTTCTTATTAGTAATTCAAATAGCTTACGCTGGAAATAATTTCAAGAGAAATCGTATACGCTTTTTAATATTCACTAACGATTTTGTTAATAAAACACCTATTATAATATCTCATTGTATATTGTTACACTGAGATATATCATGATTGAATAGCAATTAATTAATATTACCGGCCATTTGCATCGTTTAGTAATTTCGACTGTTCAATTATTTTCAGAAAGAGAGATGAAACGCTAGGAAGAGAAAAATTAATCCACACTATACAACGATTTTAATATCATCGTCATCGCCCTTTCCCCTCGAAAGGGTGAGAGAAGTTACGTGGGGACGTGGTATTGAACGGTAGCCGTCAGCGTGCGATCCCATTAGCCCGTATTGTATGCTAATGAGCGGTTGTCGCCTGTGATCCATACTTATATATCGCGTTATATCGCCGCCAGCGGTTCTCCATTTTTCAATCGCTGACAGTGTGCATTCTCGCGAGAAATCGCGCGTTGCATCGATGCACGGCCTGCATCATCGTTGCACCTCGAAATTTTCGGAGCTTCGATGCTTACATCCCAAATATCGATACAGAAATGGCGGAATTATTATATACAATCAACAGAAATAAAAAAAAATGTAATTATTTGTAAAATTTCCGTTAATAATCGCACGTCTTCGACTACAATGTGCTGCATTTTAAGTAGCCCTAAAACGCAACTAGTTCTTAATGCCGACGTAAGCACAGATTAATGGGTGCGTAAATTTTTTATGTGCCATTAAAAGTGATCGTGAAAAGGATCGTACGAACGCGGTTGTTTCGCGCTTGCGTTGGCGTCCGAAGGCATTCGAACCGAAGCCTGAACGCAATGATGTTCCGTGCAAAAGACTGAAACGAGTGCAATTAACGTTACGAGTAGCGGCGGGTCATTATCCGACTGAATCCAGCCTCGTCTCAAAACCGCAAATTACCCGCGGCAACATACACGCCTGCGTTTGAGACACATCGACAATGCACACAAGCGAATCGGGAATAAGTTCGAGCATCGTGGTACAAGATGAATTAGATATCAACAATTAAGAACACGAATGTGTACGCATACATTATCGAGGCTCGTTTGGAAGAAAGGGAAGAAGAAAAATATTCATATGCATGGAAATTAATTAATTATCACGAAGAAACGAGGCGCTAGGCTCTTACGTTCATGCAACGTATTAAGACATAAACCTGGTGTAACGTTAAACACCGCCAATGAAGGACGAACAAGAATATAAAAGTGTTCATTAAAACGTGTTGCAATTTATATCTGTATTTTCGAAATTTATCGATAAAATAATCTGTGTCTAACTGTATCCGCCTTGTTCAAGGATTAATTATTGCTCATTAAGATATACCAGTAGCACGACATCGATATCGGTAGCATGCGAAATGGAAGAAAGTCGCGTTACCATATCAACAGGAGTAACGACGTATCTAACGTACCTTTCAATTAATTCCCATACGTTCTTCTGCGGGCAACGATGCAAGATAATCACGTCAATAATCATCGGAACAAGTTATACGGCACGTGTTACCGTGATCGCGCGTTCGTAGGCGATTAAAACGTCTCGTTGTACGTCGGAAGTCGAGCGAAGACAAAATCAGGGACGTCTAGGCGTTGTCGCTTGGCTAGCCGAGCCCCGATACACAAACCGTGTCGACATAATTATGCTACGCGCCGTCAGGTAGATGAAGCCGATACGAACGTGGGACCGTTTAAGCGCCTTTACAAGCATAAATAATCCTATTAAACGTGTCACTGGCTGTGTCAACAATCTGACAGCGAACAAGATAGAAACTTAGCCGAAGGTAGGAACGGTTAGGCGTGTTCCCCCGGTGTACCCCGGTACACGCATCATTCGGTCGTTCGAAGTGAACCAAGTCACGGGAGAATCGTTTCAACCCCGCGAGGAAAAATAATTCCGTCTAAAGTGCATCGTGTTTAAACATCGTGCAACACGATGGATATTTATCCACCGTATTTTTTAAACAGCTCTAGCTAACATAACGAACGTCGTTCTATGAAAAGGGTACGAGACGTCCAAGTCCTTCGAGAAATACACGTTACGTCTTATTTCACAGTTTCGTCTTCTTACATTTCTATTTTCCACCTGAAATTTTTCTATCCGTACCCGGTAATAGATTTAGATTTTATGTATTACCCGTTGAATATCAACCATCAATTGTATCGGACATTAAAAATACACGATTACAGTGAACAGTTATCTCGTAGTTGAACAGCTGTTTATTCATTTAGATGCCTCGAGCTACTTCACCTTTCTCGATGTGTATGTAAATATAAGTGTACACGAGACGCGCGAGGTTCGAGTGTCATCAAGACGTCCGTAAACTTAAAGGGGAAACGTGAGTTTCGCTTCGGGAATCGTATACTGTATAAAACACATCGAGCAACTTTACACGAGAAACAAGTTAACCCTTTGGGGACGGAGCATTCTTCAGCTTGCATAGAGTACTATTAATTTAAAGTAAATAAAATAATAATTCCATTCTTTCAAGCGTATATTATAAATCTTTATTATCTACTTTTATACCTGTGTTTTGCGTCAAAAATGTGTAAAATTATAAATTATTATGACAATTGTGTATAGACACACGTGTGCATCGATCGTCCGCAAAGGGTTGTACAAAATAATAAGATTACGAATGTAATCGACTAAAATATTATATAAATACATAAAGATTCTAAAAATTTGGAATTATATAGAATTTTGCAATAGAGTTCCTTAAATTGACTATGAATTTCTGGATACGCTTCGACGAAGCTTCGTCGCAAGTCTCGTTGGCGAACCCTCGTAAACCTGACAATTACACGAACTCATACCGTGAAGCATGAGTCGCAAATGAAATAACCACCAGCGGCTAATAACTGGCTTCTCTGTCCCTTTGTGTTTTATTCTACCCATCGCTCTATGTGTTCTCTCTAATGCCGTGTAATTGCGACAAAATGTTACCCATTCGGTGCAGAACCGAGAACAAACCAAATTAGGAACGTGCGACCGCAAATTAAGATGCGCTGTTCGTTTCTCGTATACCTGTTCATTCTACACAATTCCCTTTTGTTTATTTACGCGAACATGTATAGCGGTCTTGTAATACAAATGAAATAGTAATTAATGAATTAAAATTGTTAAAGGTGTGAAAAATCTCGATGGAGTCCAGTTTATTGCACCTCGAGGCGTAAGATCCCAAGAGTGTGTTACAAAACAGAGAATCCTCTTTTGGCTGTGCACTCTCGAGGATAGCATACGTTTAACTCATTTCTTACGGTAAGTCCCAATTGGGGATTTAGCTACTTAGCAAAATAACGATCACAGTTAATTTCGCGCTAGAACACACCTTTCTACGAGGATATTCCCTAAATCTCACGAGTTTAGCGGGAGTTTCAACATAAACTATTTTCAAAAGCGCGCACCACAGTATATTAATATTTATAATACATAATCATGGAACGGTGTTAATTAACCGGTTTGTTCTGACATTTATGATAGAGGCTGTTGCCACGAAGAACTTTACGAAGAAATAACCACGCCAGAAATACAACCCAGCTTGCATTCCTCTGTGACAGAGCGGGGGAGGACAGACGCAAACAGGAGGTAAAGATCGATAGAGGTTCGACGACTCGACAACTAACTGCTGTCTATATTCCACGCGATATACTTGTTTATCGACGGAAAAAGTACGATTATTTTCAACGGATATTTATTTCAATATCATTTATCCTTTTTATGTTACGAAATTTCATGTTTCATGTGGTTCCATGCAGAACGATTTTGAATTGGAACAGAAATGGCGGGAAAAAAGTAAAATGGCGTCATCTAAACGCGATTGACAACTTTTTCAAATTTAGATGTACGTATGATACTCCACGCGTGGAAAATTATATTATTTCGTTTCTCTTATATTGCAAAGGATATAATTAATGTGATATTGTACTCACCAAATTTTCTATCGAGATGATCGGAGAAACGACGTTCCTTTCAGACAACTTAATCCGAATAATGACGTTGCTGGCATCGGTTATCACAGAGTTTCCGTGTGAACGAGAATATATTTCAGGCTGTCATCGTAGCTGGCTGACTCGCAATCGTTGAAAGCACACCACGAAATGACAATCACTTTTAACGATGGTTCGTTGAAAACAGTGTCACTTCGCGTATTGACAGTCTGGTTAATGCAGTCGAACGATACGTCACAGGTAGAAACGATTGTCAAAGCGTGTTCATACAGAGGAAACATTCACATTCTGCAATCCCCATTGTCGAATCAGTTGAAATTTCGTTTCAACAAAAACTATTAATCACTACAATCACTGTTTTCGAACCGAACGTGCTCCGTTCCCGATTTCGTACGAACGCGGATCGCGCAGCCATCGTCTACTGATGTCTAGCGTCACCTAACTCAAAACGATATCGATGTATCGATATTTTTTCGAAAACTCACCACGACTCCATCTTGTGATTAATCGATCTATGACTGTTGCGTTGCATCTTTAGAGGGGTTAGGTACGCTGCCAATTTAATTTGAATAATTAAATCAGGTCTGATTCTTTGAATTAACTGATTACCTCGGAAAGACGAGGAACATACTCCAACAAATCTCCAACAGATTAGTTTCCATGAATGATCGTTTCTTCACATGTTTATTTGATTTCTTTTATAGCGTGTTGTTGATGGTCGCCAGAGGTCAGTGACGCCCGCTAAATCATCTGTTGGTACTATCGTGAGCATAACGTACAATAAACCGCTACTTCCAAAAACGATGCCTCTTGTATTATGTGTCTAATAATGAAGGTTAGGAGTGTTGTTTCTCAGATATTTATCATGCGTGTTTCTTTTATGTTTCGATAAACACTTTCCCGAACGAAGCTTGATAACGTGTAACGATGAAAATATTTTGGTGTTTCAAAAATTGTGCTTTACAGTAGCCGATCGGACAAGGCATGAGAACAAATATTTAACTCCACTGTCGATGGACATTCCAGCGTTGATTTTCGTTTCCGGACGGTTCAGTTTAAAATGTATGACGTAAATGGTGGCAAGGTCTCAATAGTCGCATGCGATGGTACCCGATAAGTATACCAAAGAGACTACAATAGATTATTCTCCTCTCGCTAGTGGCACACTATGGACTTTATCTTTCTTGAATCATGCTCGGTTTCAATGCGTCTGTCATCGATGACACGAACGTCAATGCATCGTTCCAATATCGTCTCCAACGATTAGGATCACCATCGCGACGCGGTAAATACGATCGACGAGCTTGTCTCTGTACACCGTTGAGAATTCTCCAGAGTCCGCCGCGTGTCGTTCGAAAGTAGACGGATTACCGACGTTCACGAAACTGTTCGTTTGGTCATCACCATGCCGTGACGCGAAATAGGAGCGAACTGCGCGGAACGCGTGCAGACAGAACGCACTAAACGACAAATGGACGGAGCCGCTGTTGGCTGACTGCCGACGGTCGAACACGCTCGAGTCCCAACGATCAGCTGATCGGCACGCGCGCTACTATGGTAACCAACGGCAGCGGGCTCCGGTAGGGTTGCACGCGCACACACACACAAGTTTTGGAGGGCGCCCCTTACGGTAGCCTCTAGACTCCGATAACGTATACGTGCATCGTGCGTGCGCACACACGTGGTTAGAAGATTTGCGCCCGCGCGTCTGCGTGTGTGGGTGTGCGGGTACGATACCGTACTATCCGTAGATGACAAAACACGACGACAACGGCGACGATGACAGAGAGAGGCAAAGGTCGAATGCAAAAAAAAAAACTTCCTTTCGCCTTCTCCGTTTTCCTTATTTCCTTTTTTTCTATCTCGCTTTTTCTTTTCTCTATTTAATTGCAATTGACTACGCGACACGCAACGTCACTGCAGACTTGAATACTATGACCGTGTGCTAGTCGCAAGGTAATTCAAAATACTGTCGTGACTCGTCACAAAATCGACTACGGTGACCGTATCTGACAGGAAGGAAAATCACGAGGTAATCGTGGCGCGAGCGGCAACGTACGCCATCCACTCGTGTCGGCAGTCGGGCGTGCACTGCCTTCCTGAGTCGCCGGTTGGTTCTCGATCCTCGACTCTGTTCGCTCGACTCGCTCGCCTGTTCGCGGCCTCCATCCCCGTATCGCACTACGGCTACGATCATCGGTGGTATATACACGATGCTAGCACGGAACTTACCCGTTTCTTTTCGCAATCCATCTCCTCGGATACATCCTTATCATTAGCAACCTTATTATCATCATTTGATCTTGATCTATATCATTTATGGATAATAAGATCGATGCTAGATGAAGAATCTTTCGAATCTATCGCAAAAAGTTCAGATTTGTTGCCATTAGAAAACACGATTCAGATCTTGATGCTTTAAATTAAAAAATATATATATATAATTTTAAATCATTCTGGGATTATATTCTTCGTTACTTTTACTGTAATTATAAAAAAAAGATTACAGTATGACATAGGGCAATTAACGCATTCTTTATCTATAGTAAATAATAGTAGAATAAATAAATAAATTTGTACAATTGAAATGGATTAAGTACATCAACAGACACATAGTCCAATACTATTAATAATAAGAAATAAAAATAGATATACAAAAGTTTGATGCTTCAAAATTATTTTATATATGTCTATTAAAACAATTTAAATTCTATGATTTCTCTATGAGACAAAAGTTATAAAGCGCCTGTAAAAAATTTTAAACGTTATCAATTCAAAGATTAACAGTTACATGCGCAAAAACATGATTTAAAAATATTTAAATGATATTCTTGATCACCACGTAATCTGTTATTTAAATTCCTGATCAATTTTAAGTATTTACATTTTATGAAGCACATAAAAATTAAGTAACTTTGAGTTGTTAATGTAATAAATGAATCACTGACAGCTAAAAATATTAAGTTAAATATGAAACACATTTTATGAATAACTTGCCATTTTTTTACAATTGTAGATAATATATAATAGCTAGAATAACAAAATGTAATTTAAAATAGTTAAACAACTTTTAAGGAATATGAATTTAATTTGATTTTAATTTTATATATTAGGGAATAAAATAAAATTTATATATTAAGAAAATTGACAAAGTATACGTATTTATTCAAAAAAAGAACATATAGATCTATGGCGACATCTATCAGCACCATAGCAAACTAGATTCATCTAATCAATAGTAGATATTTGCAATACATACAAGAAAATATTATTACCACAATACTTTATTGTTTAGAAAATAAAATTACAAAACTAATATTACCAATCGTTAATGTGCCAAAGGGCAGAAGGACCAAAGGTAACTGATGAAAGAATACAGTATCCATAAACTTAACAAGATCATTGATGTTAGGAGTGTATAATGAATCTTGCGCAACCTAAAATGGATTCATTACGGATAATGATCATGTCATAAATATATAATTTTAATATTACTAACTTTTTAAGAAGTTACATACCTACTGTACGCAACTCGACTCTCGTCTAAAGTGTCGAGTGGATCATTTAACATGAATACACGTAGACCTCGTACGTGTATATAAAAGTACGCATCCCAATCTAGTTTTCCTATATCAAAGAAAAAGTTTTCTCGATCAACACAATTCATTTTGTTCCAAAGTTTTAAAACATTTTCATTTCGGAAATTCCATTCCCTTGTTGAGAAGTAATGTATTACATTACTAAATTTGTGTATTTTTCTATATGCATCCATCAATCTATAAATACATTTTAATTAGTATTATTGTACTAGTTCTATTACATGTATAAAACACTTACATAGGTTTTCTACCAGTAAGATAAGCTGCTGTATCAACAATAACTGCTGGTACTAAGTGGAATAAGAAGGCACAAATATTATGCATAAATAAATAATTATTGAGTATTAATGCATAATACCACACAACTTTTTTACTAGGTACTTCAAAAGCATAATCTTCATTTTTCTTCATAAATTCACCCCAAGTAATTGGATTCTGACAAGAAGATACAGAATTATAAATAGGCACTTTCTCCTCATCAGGTATAATGGAATCTGGACTTGCTTTTATTGGACGTTTTCTGTAAAAATCAAATAATGTTTTTATATTTAAAAACAATTATTTACTAATGCAAATTTTTCTTAATTGGTACTTCAGATTTTTAAGATTATGCTTGGTTACCTGTAATTAAACAACATTGCTCAATTTGCTTGTTCTTAGTAACAAAGCTTGATAAAGCAAATAATACATATATAAGCTAATAAGCTTATATAATGTAAATCTCAAATGAAAAGACCATAAAAACCTAAAGAACTTTAGTCTTTAAATTTCTTAGCTTAAATATCAGAATTGCAATTAAAACTCCATTACCTGGTACCAACATCCCAAGCAGCAGCTATAATGGTGGCAACAACATAATCTGCTGGTATAATGTCTGCCACTTTTTCTTTACAACAGTGTAACGTATGCAATAGACCTAAACCAGCTCCCAAAACAACACCTGTTGCCCCATATAAATTGTTTGTCCACCCAGAAATTGGTTCCGTATAGGTTGATGTAACAATAGCAGGTCGCACAATACAAACTGGAAGATCATTACTATACTTTAACACAGCATTCTCTCCTATTGCTTTAGTGAATACATATGTATTAGGCCATTTGTTAAGCAATCTATAAACAAAAAATATATTTTTTCATGATTAATTTTCTTATCTGCAATATTAAAATCAGTAAGTTTATTGGAATGATACCTACATGGGAGTAGTACGTGTTACCATATCATCATCCAAAATATCCAACAGTGACACTAACTTATCAGCATCAATGGTATCACTGTAATGTTTCTCATCAATAAAATCACGTGTACAGTGTGCATATGCAGTTGATACATGTACAAATGCCTGTAAATAGAAGCATTAATATTCATCTATATTTTCAGTTAAATATCTTCAAAAATATTCAATCCACCTTGAAAGAGGGTATTTGTTTTACAAATGTCAGTAAGAATTTCACGGTTTGCACGTTGGTCGCCGTTATTACACGAAGTTTCGCTTCGAATCGAACAAGTGCAGCAGCATGGAAAATTATGTTTATATTCATTAACATTTGTTTAATTTCCGGTGACCAGCCAAATTCAGGTTTCGACCCATCACCTTCCACTAGTACCACCTTACTTAGGAAGTTCGGTTGTTCTTTCTTCAATCTATCATAGATCTGAAAACAATACAATAATAAAATGCATTACTGTTCAATTACACATTTTATTATTAGGTCTACATTACTCACAATATCATCAAAGTTTTCCTTAATCCGTTCTGATGAACTTTTCTCTTTTTTCGGTCTTACTACCAGATACAATTTGGAAATATTTGGGCAACATCTGTAATTGTGTATACAATGAAACCTACTGACCTAGACTTAATGCACTCGTAAATGTTTAAATTTCCTGTTTATTTACATTTTTAATTATATTACATGAATGAATTATTAAATAGTATCAGTCATGAAGAAATTATAATAGTGTTATTATTCATAATGTATGCAGTATCGATTAACTTATGAATCAGACGTATTATTGTTTGATATGTAATTAAACTGTAGATACTTTCTTAAGCGTATTTTGCTTTCAATAATTTCAATCTATTTCTTTTGTGATTTGTGCATTTTCTTCCGTTTATCGTTTATGGTACGATAAATTATTTTTCTTAGAATTCAATTTTGAATTCTGATTTGCCATTCTTTAAAATTGTGTGGTCACTGTAGGTGTGCATTAATTCATTTAAATCGTAGACGCATCAATCGATGGTGTATAAACACCGGATGTACTTTTGAACCGTTCAATGATCGTAACACTGACATGGCATTGCAAATTTTTGGAGGATATGACGCGTTGATATATGAACTAACGACATAATTACAAAATAAAAACTAGTTCTCAAGATAAACCATCGTATCCTATGTAATCATATTATAACTCTCATAACGCAAATGAATATTAATGGAAAATAATATGACTATTAACTGAAAAAAAAACCATTCATGAGAATGTTCGATAGCTTTTATATACGCTGCAGTAGCGATAAAAAATGTAATTATTTCATCGTCCAATTTAAATTTCCGCATTTGCTTTCTTATGAAATTGATATAATAATACTAGTTAGAATTTATAATACTTAGTATTATTAATAATAATACTACTTAAAATTTATTTTTATTTTCCTCCTCAATTATTAAATTATATGAAATTTGTGGAGGCGACCACCGCCAACTTTTACGGCGCGGCGCTACAAAATATTAATCCTCAAACGGTAGAGCTCTGAAACAGCAACGATTTGAATTTAATTTTTAATTTAATCTTCCAGTAAATAACATTTTTTTCTTTGAAACTTTGAAGGTATAATTTTAGTCAAAGCATGTGTGACCTGACTCTACCGTACAAGACTTGACCATTTCCGGGACTCTAATACAATATGCAAAAACAATAATAATTTATTCACGCAATGTACAATATTCAACTAGTGCCTGTATTCAAAAGTGCCTGTTGTTACACTTTTAAATTCATTTGCAACTTAATAGCGATAGTAAATGTGGTAATGGGTTTAAAGTACGTTATTGCAAATATTACCTGAGTAACTTTTCGACGAGTAACTTTCCCAGGAAACCTGTCCCTCCCGTTACCAAAATATTAGCTTGATCAAAAAAGGGGATGATTTCACTTTTTTCGGTCGATTCTGGTGGTTCAGACATATCCAGTATATCGTGTACGTACGAGTCACATCTTTCTGTTGTCATCTTGATAGTGAACCTGTTTAGTTTGAATAATATGTGTAATTCAATAAAAAAATAGTCATTTAACATATAATTAAGAAATATTTAAATTATTTCACAAAATCGACAAGTTTTATCGTAATATATTCAATCCGCTTTTAAATTTAAATTTTTATTAAATTGTCATACTTCTACACTGTTGAACATAATGAAAATTAAGCGACATTGAAGTAAAACAAAACCAAAGTCCAATATGGAAAAACCCCTCTCTATAACTATGATAGATTTTAATTAAAAAAAGAAATTAGATTTTACTATAATATTATAACTTTATATTGTTTAAACTACATTATATTTTTTGAAAAACGTTGAAATGTTTATTTTTTAATCGGTGAATATGGCATCACTTAAGAATGTAAAATTGAAATTTTCAAGGAACTTGGAATGTTGATGAATTTATTAAATTAACAGAACATAGGTTGAAGAAATGAAACAAGGAAAGTATCAAACAGATTTTTGATAACGATAGTAGATGATTGTTTTTATATCGCTTACCAAGTACTAGTTGATAGTCCAGGTAACAAATTCGATGTGAATTCAACGACGGATGGATGTCAATTGCAATGTATTCCGACTCCGTTCGTATACCTTTAAAGAGGTACACATTTCCTCAAACGCACACTATGTATCATAATATATGTAAATCTGACCTTTATGCAGATTAACTTTTTCTCAAGTACAATAATTATATTCTTTATGTGTATTTCAATGAATTTGATAATGATTAGAATATAACAGAACTACTAAGAAAAAGGAATAAATAAGAGAAGAGAAAGTTGATTCAAACATTAATTTACATTTTCTGTTGTGTTGATCGAATAAAAATATATAATTCGTGGTAAAATTTGTAATTTATTGTTAATGAAATGAAGGATCAACTTGCATATTCTGAAATTTACTTTACAATGTAAAGAAAACAATTCGTTGTTATTAATTATTGATACTGCTCTGGGTATTGCAATCTGTTAAAACAAATTTTAGTTAAAATAGAATTGATTAAAGTTCAATAAAAAAAGAATGATGTTGCATAAAACATTTTAAGGTCACTTTGATTTATGTCTTGTTTGGATAATCAGTTTACGTAATTAAAGTTTTCTCACAACGTTTTATCAGTGACAATTAGAATTGCTAAACACGAATGTTAGTGTCATAAATACAGTTTATTCTATCAATTTATTTGTACTACTACATGCTTTGTGAACAAGATACAATATATACAATACATCATGGAATGACATATACATTATAAACTATACATATATAGAATGAACTACACATAAATTACACAAAACAGAATAATTTTCAACATACGTGTAAATCACTGGTTGCAGCTAAATTATGCAAACTTGTTAAATATTACAAGTCTATGGTAATAAATGAAACAGTTATTAATTGCTATCTTATTTATTTTATTGTTCGTTGTTCTTGGCATCCCATAAAAATCTTTTTACCGTGGCTTTGCTATATTTATCTATCGATCTCTGTTCAAGAGAATTTTCGTGGAAAAATACTGTAAAACATTTTTGGTGAAATATTCTTATAAATCATAATGTATTATTTAATTTTCGTTTTTACGTAAAAAATAAACAACAAGAAACATAATTTGTTATACCACTACATTTTTTTCATTATTGCACAGTGCTCGTACTCTCATACTATTCAACGCCCAGCGTTCTTTTTTTTTATAATTTATACACAATTAACACGATGCACTTGCATTTCAATGACTACTCCAATAAATATACAATTCGTGAAATTTATATATACAGTGTGTCTCACTTAAACTGATACAAAGCTCTTATTCCGTAACTATTAATGATACAAAAAATTATTGATATGGAAATTGCATGGAAAAATGTTTTGGTCGAAGTAAAAAATCTTTTGCATTATTAGTTTAAGAGATATGATGGTCAAGTTTTGTTTTTTAAATGAAACCATATATTTTTTTCAGATCATGTAATAGTGCTTTTCAATAGGAATTCATTTAATGTATACACTCGATTTTAATTAGTTTTCAAGATATAACGTTTACAAATTTCCCGGTTTTCAGTAGATACGTCTCGGTTTGAATAGCAAGTCGTAAAAACGGCCCTATTGTTGCGGTAAGTGCCATAGCGGGGGTCTACGCTAAGAAGGGCAGACCCAAAGAATAACCGCGGTGGCACTTACCGCAACAATAGGGCCGTTTTTACGACTTGCCACTCAAACCGAGACGTATCTACTGAAAACCGGGAAAGTAAACGTTATATCTTGAAAATTAATTAAAATCGAGTATATACATTAAAGCTTAATGAATTCGTCTTGAGAAGCACTATTACATGATCTGAAAAAAATATATGGTTCCATTTAAAATACAAAACTTGACCATCATATCTCTTAAACTAATAATGCAAAAGATTTTTCACTTCGGCCAAAACATAGGCCCCCTTTTTCCATGCAATTTCCATATCAACAATTTTTTGTATCATTAAGCTCTGTATCAGTTTAAGTGAGACACACTGTATATATGTATATATTCAATTTTTAATACATTATAATTTAAATCAAATCGAGAAACTTAAAAATTAAGGAACAAATATAAATATAAATATATAGAATCTATTAAAAACGATTAATCATCCTGTAAAATACTTAAAGGGTCATCGCCGATCTTTTCAGCGGTTTTCTTTAAATCTTTTGTGACCGATTTTTTAATAGTTGAGCGCGTCTCCGTAGTCTTTACGTAGGTTTCAGTCGTTGATTTTTTACCAAAAATATTATCACCATCGTCGTCGTCATCGTCAGAGGGAAATAATGATTTCGATGTGACGACCTTCTTCGGTACAGTTTTACTTGCAAAGATATCATCTTCTCCGCTTGACTGATCAGCAAAAATATCTGTAATGTGCGAAGTCTTCACAGGCTCGACGATACTCGCGAAAATCTCATTTTTGTTTGACTGTTCTTGAACACTGCCGGAGTCTGACTTTTGTGTCTGCTCCGATGACTCGGAAAATAAATTGGTATCGTTGTCGTCGTCGTCGAATAAACTTAGTTTCTTCCCAGATTGCTGTACGGCTGCCTTTTTTATGGATTCACTTTTAACCGACGATTTCTTTACAACGGGACCAAACAAACTATCATCTTCGTCATCTTGCTCGTCATCATCGAACAGACTAATCTTCGCATCCTTCAAAGGCTTCTTTAAAGGTTTAGTTAGAGGTGTCGAGAATAAATCACCACCCATGTCGTCGGAAAATAAATCCAAGACTGACTTTTTCGTGGTTTGCTCTTCGGTTGACTTTTTACCTCCGCTAGAAAACAGGCTGTCATCCTCGGAAAACAATAGATTTTTGCCCTTTTCTGGAGACGGTGTTTTCGTAACGAAAGCAAACAATTGGCTGGGATCTTTCAACGGATCGTGAGTGCTGTCTCGTAATGGATCAACTACATCATTCAATTCGTCTTTGGCTTCAATGTTATCTTCTTTGAATTCTTCCTCACTCTTGTGTGGAACCGTAATTTTTCCATTAGAGTCATTACTAGGTTCATCCAATACATTGTTCTCTTCTGTCTTTTGGGTATTTTCCTCTATCCCTCCATCTGTACCGTTAATCTGTTTGATATGTGTATCTTTTAATGGTTTAAAACTCGTAGACACCCTTTCAGAAATGACTTGCTCTACCGGCGAAAGAATAGGGGCTCTACCGAACAGCGTATCCTCTTTTTGTGGATCTTCGGGCAAATCTGGTGGTACATCGAACAGGTCTTCCTCGTCGGTGGATGGTGATAGCAAAGTGTTCTTATTAGCACTCATTGAACTTTCTTTACTTAAACTACCAAGTTCAGATTTATCGTCCGCGGTTAAGAAAATATTAGCATCGGTGGTCCGGTGGAGATTATCAGAAATCAAACGATCAGAACTCGTGGCGACAGTATGTGAAACTGTATGCGAAACTGGGTCTTTATTAAAAATATTCTGAGACGGGTTACCATGACTGTCATGTTGCGAGTTGCTCTCTGAGGCATCTACAGTATCGAAATCGATTCCGATTTGTGTTAAGGCTGACTTACGTGCATATCTGCTCTGAGGTCGACGTTTTGCTTGTATTCTGACTCGCGTCTGAAAAAAGATAAACGTAATATGATATTAATACCTTATCTATCCCTCGCACATGAAATGGTTTACAATGAATAATCGCTACCTTAAAAAGTTCAACAAAAAGGTTTCGTAACGGTAAGATAGTAATATACAAAATTTAGTTTTATAATTACCTTCGAAGCGGTAGTAGATAGCGTTTCTACTTGAACAGGCTCATCAAAACTAATAGCACTTTCTACGTTACTTTCCCCTGAAATCGTCGACTGTAAGGATTGTTTCTGAGTAGCACTATCCTCTGTAACAAAACATAAAATGATTTGTTTATTTTTATTTATATCGATATCAATAAATAATACTATTAGAACTTGGAACAGACAAATAATGTAAATGATATACGTTACCAGATGCACTTAATGAACTATGACCTTGTATACTAATGCATCCGCCGTCATCGCTGTCTCTATCTGCTGTACTATCTTCTTCGTCCGTTTTCTCTTCGCTTCTTCGCCATAAAGGTGGTACGTCCATAGGTGAAAGTATCTTTAAATCACCCATTTTTCCCATCAAGTTCTTTATCTTACCGGAAACCGTTCGTTTCGTTCCCTGATCGTTCTCCTCGGACGGAGATGACGAAGCAACTGTTTGAATGTCTAATGATTTCGGAGGACTCTTCTTCGTCTCGTTTTCAATATCTTCTGCGACACTAGGTTCCGCAGAAGAGACTCTATGTACATCTTTATCATTCTTTTCTTCTACTTTGTTCGACGTTGTATCAAAGGCGCTCGGTTCTTCAGCCTTTGCAAATATATTAGATTCATCTAACGTTTTGATCTCCTTAGCTAAAGCCTCTTTCGTATCATCTATTGTTTCTGATTTTGATCGTACGCTCTCTTTTTTCGTTTCTTCCTTAATCACGCTCTTAGTAGACTTTGTACTAAACAGATCATCGTAATCGTCATCTTCGAAGACCAATCCGTGTGTTCCAATAGTGTTGGAGAACAAACTGTTACCCGACAGAACATTCTTATCCACTTTTTCACTCGAAAGAGTGGATACATCTTGCTCGACGTTATCTGTACCCGATGCAGTCGTTCCTATAGAAGATTTGTCGTTTGCTTGTTTCTTAGCAGAGAACAATTCATCTTCCTCCTTATGCTCTTTCTCCTTCTTCTTCTTCTCATCATCATCATCCTTCAAGATACGAGATTCGCTTTTGGCTTCATTTTTAACAGGCTTCGAGCCAAATAAATCTCCGTCATCGATGTCCTCCTCATCATCGAACAGGCTGATCTTTTTCGTTACTCCAACGCTTTGATTCCTCTCCATCGTGTTACTTTTTATTATCGTGTCTTTGGCGTTGCTCGCAAAGAGGCCATCGTTCGATATGTCCGGAATTTTCCAACTGGAAATATTGTTTTCCGGTTTGGCCGGTGATTTCGACGCTATACCAAAGATATCGATGTCCGGCGAGTCTTTGTTACCGAATATGTCGATTTCTTCGTCGAAGAGACCTTTTCGAGGAGTAGTTTTCGCCTTTTCAGGATGTTGTACACCGGACGTGAAGAAATCGCTGCTCTTTTGAGATCTAGAACCCGAACTAGTCGTTGAGAATAATTCGTCACCGGAATCGGAGTCGTCGAAGAGGGAGGACACCTTCGACTTTGCTAGCTTAGAGTCCGCTTTCGGTAGCGGAGGTGGACCAAACAGATCTTCGTTTTCGAACACATCATCCTGTTCCGTAGATAGAACGTTCTCGTTTGATTCTCTCTGCGACTGATTGTTCGTCGAATTCGGGGTAACACTGATCGGGTTGCGAGTTTGTGCTGAGAATAGACTGTCGCTGACTACCCTTTCACGATAGATCTCCTCCGATTTTAAACGGGTCGATGTCATCTGCGGTGAATTAATACTGAAACAAATAAGAAGAATAAATTTTCTTATTTTTATGTTTTTTAATTTTATAAACAATACCACGCACGCTTTAAAAATAGTACCACCAATGCCACCTAAGCGCGATGAAGCGCTCTCTTTAAAAAAGACCGCCGTAGAGCTTATGAAATATATTTTTTTAAATCTCTGGTCTTCCCGCTCATCTTTAGATGGCGCCAACACTGCTGTTTTCAAAGCGCGCACTGATTTATGAATTGAAACAGATAAAAATAACTTTTGCGCAATATTTTCAGTTTATTAAATTAATTACTCTACAGTCACATAAACATTTTGATGAAACAAAAATAACAATGACAAAAAAGTGACCATCATTTTTTAACTTTGAATGTTCTTTAAAGTAGAATTTAATATTCAAAAAAATATTTTCAAAAAGAATTAGCTTGAACTCGTTTCAAATATTTGATTTGTAAGAAGATCATAATATTTTGAATATACAGAGTTACTGAGGCTACAATACGAATGATTGCGTAAAGGTCAGCGCAGATAAGAAGGGGCAAAGGGAGATATAAAAGAGAAATTCGAATGCCAATACGCCAGTATTTTTAGTAAGTCGAACCATTTAAATCTAATCGTTTACTGAAAGATGAAGACCATCATATTGGTGTCACTTTTAATGGCAATATGCTTGCTTTCGGAAGTGCGAGGTACGTGAATTCCTTTTAATGTATCAGGAAATAATTATAAAATATAAGCACCATCACTGAACGTACCATAAGTGTAAAATAACAGATTGAAAGTGTAAAATGCAATTTATGATAGAGCGTAATCTGAATTAAAACAGGCGAACCGTTGCATCCAATTAATTCTCACGAGACTCATTAAGATAATTTCATTTCAATTTCGTTATTATTCACAAATAAGATTAATATCCAAGGAATGGTATTCCGTATAATGTTTAATAAGTAAAGATATAATTTAAGAGAACCGAAATTTCGAAAAATCATATTCTATAAATATATTTTTGGTAAGCAGGAACTTGTAAAGGATATGGAGATAAAGATCTCAGCGTTGGAACACACTATATTAACTGCACTGCCGTTTCATGCCACCCAAATGGAAGTGTAACGATGCTTGGGTAAGTCTTGTGACACAAATAACGTTTTTTTACTCACAATATTTGTTAAGTATACCGTAATAGTGATGGATTGGATAGATTAGATAGACTAGATAGATTAGATATGATTAAATGTTTTAGGTGTGCATCGTACCGATGCCAAGAAGGAAAACAAATCGGATATCGGCAAACGGATTTAAGCAAACCTTATCCGGAATGCTGTGAAGGACCTATTTGCGCGGATTAAAGTTAATAGCTGAAACTGAAAATACTCGATATAAGAGAAAAATGTTAAAGAATGTTATGCATGGATTAATGAAATTAAATGAATACAAAATATAAATTGTAAAATGATGTCGCACTTACTTTGCATGGTATAATTAAGAGCCTGATGCGGATAAAAATAATATAAAAACATGTGCGTCCAGGAGATACTGTTTCAGGATGAGATAATAGTAAACTGTAGGAGATTGCTTTGCAGCTTGTGTTTCTCAACGATACAATCACTACAACGCAATGAAGGATGACTAATGTTTGGATCATCAATTCAATGACATTTTCAGTGTCTGACACGCGTCCCCGTTCTTATACTTGCAAAAGGCAAGCATAGCAAGAAGTTTAATTTATTCAGTTAACTTATTCTAAAGTCCCGTCGCCAAAGTGATGCAATTTCTATTTATATTAACAATGTATTTTTATCTACATTAAAAATGAAATAAATAATCATAATAATGAAAATTTTTAAACTTACCCTATGCTCGAACCAACTGTGTTATTAATACTCCATGACGGGTTCGATATTCCACTACTATAGTTGCTTTCATTTGGGACGGCTAAATTTACTGCGTTATTCCTTGCTATCTCAATAGAATCTCGTTCATTAACATTATCATTCGACACATTATTTCGCGAACGATCATTCACAGGTTCGTTATTTGTACTGCTTCCATAAGTCGTTGGCGTATTAGTACCGGAAGATCCAGACGACTGGGTCCGCGAGATCCTACTCGATAATTTGTTTTCAACATCTGTAGTTAAAATATTTCCCAGTATCGAGATTCCTCCTACAGGTTTCTGAATCACAAAACATATTAATCTTCCGATCCTACTAAAAATTGTCATCAGCTGTAGCATTATTTGATGTAATCTTACTTTTTTATTTTGTGGTTGATTTTTAGATGATCCAAAGAGATCGCCCATATCTTCATCATCGCTAAACAGATTAGTAGTATTTACATCAATGTCCGGCGTACTTGTAGCCATGTGAGTTGGTGCCACAATGTCTAAAAATTTCTTTTGCGCATTTTCTTTATCTGCCAAGACATTACTGTTACTTAAGTGTTTATTTTTTGTAATTGTTTTCACTGTATTCTTTGATGAAAATATATCATCGGAATCTTCGGAATCAGCATCAGCAAACAAATCATCAATTGCTGATTTTGGTTTAGTAGCTAGAGATACAGAATTTTGGTAAAACGTTTATGATATATTAAACTATACAAGATTTAAGTGGGATAATACCTACAAATTGCACTAATTGGAGGTGGTACATCAATGCTAGCTGGTATGATATTATTCTTATAAGGTTTGATCGGTTTTTCCTTCCACAGATTTTCCGAAGATTGGTCATTTACAAACTTTTTACTCTCACTAAGTATATTTTTCGATTTATCAATTGAAACATTTTCATCTTCTTCCGGTGCAAACAGATCCTCTGAAATAAACGTAACAATCATTAAATATTGATGAGGTATAAAAATTATTCCATTCATGTGAATACCTTTAAATCGATTTATCGACGCATCACTCTTTTCGTCCATAACAGTTGGTTTTTGAGCTTGTCGAACGGTACCTAATCGTTTAGCTAATTCTTCTGCAAAATTTGGTGCTGAATCATTTGATAATGATACCTAAAGAAATAATATGAATTTTTGTAGCATTACAATGGACAATATGAAATGAAAATATAGATGTTAGGCAAGTTGTACAAACCTTTGGTACACTGTTATTAGGAGTAACTGATTCAGAAATAGAATCTATATTATTTTGACTGACTACATCCATTTTGTCATTATCCATGTATGTTATATCATTTCTTTTATTATAAGTATCATTCAAAGAAGGTAATAATCCAACTAGGTTTGATTTAGGATCCAGATTAAGATTCTTGAATGCTGCAGTATCATCAGCCTCGCTGTCTGATTCCTCCTCATCTACTTGCTCTGATTCACTACTACTACTACTTTCTAAACCAATTTTACTTGAATTTTTCCATTTTTCAGAGCCAATGACATAAGGTAAAGGTCGATCTTGGTATGGATTATTTGGTCCCACAACGCTAAAATGAAATTACTAATAATTGAATAAATTGTTTTTATAACAAAAAATTATGTAGCAGATATATTTACCTTAGTACTACTTTATTGTCTTCATCTTCTTCTTCTTCGCTATCACTATCAACAAACTCCATTTCTTTATATTTTTCATTCATTATATTCAGTCCTTGTTTTATACTATCGCTAACAGTGGCTATTAACTCTGCAGCTACTAAATCCTGATCTTTACATTCCTATATATAATGTAATAGTTCCACATATTAATAATCAAACTTATTAATTTGATATTATACAATCTTTATCTACCTGTACTGAGGTCTCTACTTTCTTTTCAATCTCTATATCATCTTCTTGTACACGGCTCTCAATAAATTGAGTATTGGCTAAAGCTAATGATCTATTAGTAACATTATCTATAAATATTGTTGTTTCATGTAACTGAGTTGTCAGTGAATCCAAGGTCTCCTCAACTTTGTTAGCTTTTGATACCAAATTCTGTAAAAAAGTATTATAAATAAGTATGAATCTTATACATATATGTATATATGTTTTTACTATATTGGTTGCAAAAGAAACCTGCATTATAAATTTAAATCATACTTCAGAAAATTGCTGAAGATGTTTGAGAAGTCCTGCATCACCTGCTAAACTCCATTCTCTTCTTTTTTTTCGCATTTCTTCTGTAGTCCATGGATGATCCCATGATTTATCCATTTCATCTGATATATCCTGATAGTACAATTTTTTCTTATTTTTACTTTAAATTATTTAATATATTCTATTATATATTTCACAGGTTCAATGTAAACAGAAATGTATTCTATAATAATAAATTTCGATATGGAGAAAGTATCGTTAATCTGTATTATTGTTTATATTTGTTAACCTTCAAAGAATGTTTAAAGTAACCGTTAGTATCAGTGTACAATCATAAAACGTACCATACCACCCAGCCCAATTTGATATAACAAACTGTTGCTTCTCTTCGCAATTACATTTACATATGTTTTGTTATATTTTTATCAAACTTAGTGAAAGAAGATAAAACACCCACGTAACACTTAGAACTATCAGCTACAGTGTCCAGCACTGTCACATCTACTAGTGACTACAGATGTAGAAGACTGGACATGCCTTTGCTTTTGAGGGGTCATGATTTAGGGGGTACCAGACACCCCATGAACGTGAACTTATCGACTGTCAAAAACTTAATTAGCTTCTGGTACTTGCCGACAGGTGGCGCTAGTATCACCTCTTTCAAAAGCAAATAAATAAAGTAAGTTAAATAAACTCCAGAAAGAAATTAGAGAACGATTATTATACTGACTGTGCCCTCTTCATACGGAAATGATTTCATCCAGGAGTGTCAGAAACCCCGCTGTGCCAATGCCGCCCTGTGGATACCGACCCGATATCATCTTGGGGTGTTAAGGACCCCAAATACCCGTGATTCTGCATACCGACGTTATAGTGTCCGGGGTGTCAGAGACCCCGATGCATCAGTGACTCTGCATACCGACATATCAAGGGGTGTTAGGGACCCCGAAGCACCAGCGACTCTGCATACCGACATATCCAGGGGTGTTAGGGACCCCGAAGTACTCATGATTCAGCATACTGACGTTACGGCGTCCGGGGTGTCACGGACCCCAATGCACCAGTGGTACTCCTCTGCATACTAACCCGAAATCATCTTGGGGTATCGGAGACCCCGAAGCACCAGCGCCTCTGCATACCGACATATCCAGGGGTGTTAAGGACCCCGAAGTACTCATGATTCAGCATACTGACGTTACGGCATCCGGGGTGTCAGGGACCCCAATGCACCAGTGGTACTCCTCTGCATAACGACCCGAAATCATCTTGGGGTATCGGAGACCCCGAAGCACCAGCGACTCTACATACCGACATATCATCCTGGGATGTTAGGGACCCCGAAGCTAAAATGTGCGACCGATAGACTTTTTATAGAAAAATTGAAACCTCTGTAACTTTTGACTCCGACCACTTAGACGCACAAACGCAACGGGTTTGAGCTAATCTCAGCGAGAGCTTTCTAGCGACGTATGAAGCGTATCTCTAACCCTAGTAGTTCTCAAGTCGAAATGTGACACGGACGGATGTCTTTGCGCTTTATACATATATAAGATTTTATCCAGATGAAGAGAAGAAATGTAAAATATCATGTAGAAAACGTCTTCCAACGTTAAGTTAAAATGTTTAAAAGTTTCTAATTTAAATAGCTTTTTCAAACGAATGATTTACATAGAAGATGTACAAACATAGAATTTCATAACAACGTTGTAATAATTAATCTTCTTTTATCAAAACTTTGTTTAAACAAATGTAATTTATTATAATGAATACAAATGAATATTTACTGAAATAAATATAAAAAAAAGGGTTTTTCTATTGTAATGTACAGCACTGCTATGTGCAATGTTGCCAAACCGAACAGTATTTTGGTCCGTATTCAACATTCCGCTGTTCGACCGATAGAGGAACAGCGCTGTAGATAGATTGTTTGTCAATATATTTGAGTTAGTTGATTTTTACTGGCTTTTTATGTGTAATGTAATCATTTCACAATGACCCAAAACATAAAAAAAGTATCTTGATTGTATATGTGTCAGAGTATTTAGTGCATATGTATAGAATATACTGACAATACTGTCAAAGAGAACGTCGTATATGTGCAATAATGATACTTTTATATGCAAGTGAGGAATTCCATCTGTTTCATTAAAGAAAATAATATTTGGAATGTTTGTTGTATTAGCAGAATTTAAACTTTGTTAAATCAATTCCTTTGAATCATACTTTATCATGGATGTTTAATATGAATACCAGTTTTCCAATTAATAAACTAAAAATTTATAATAAAACAAAAAAGACAGATAACCCTTAGTACAAAAAAAGTTCCAACATTGGCACTTTTAGTTGGTATGTCTATAAAATAAATAATACCTTACATTAAGAAACAAAAAATTGAAATAAGTATATATTTCTGTAATTAATTGATTCAATTGTTGGAAACAGTGTATGTATAATTACATACACATAGGTACAATTATCTGTCAAGTAACAACAAGTAATGGTATATTTAACACTACAAAATGTATTATGAATTATTTATTGCTCTTTATTGCTATGCTACAGTAATTTATATTTTGTTTGTTTTAGATACACTATAGAAAATGTATACCAGAATGACACAACAAAGAGATATAGGTGGTTTGTATTGTAAAGATGAATACATTCGACAATTGTGTATCCTGTTTAGTTGATGCACAAAATATTGTCTTAGACAATTGCAGATTATTTTTATTCAATATCTTTGTTGTTGCTCTTTTGGAGCATTCTGATTGTCATAAAGTATTCAGTGTTCATAAAATCTCTTTTAATGAGGCTGAAGGCACATATAGGAAGGCGAACTCTCTTTTGAGAAGGTACAGTGTTTTAAAACTGACTTTCATGAACAATGAACCATTCGGGAAGTGGAAAACGTCAGGCGAAGGTTTTGGAAGAAAACTATTGGGACTGTAGTGTCTGCACATATAGAAATACCGCAGAAGCATTTAAGTGCCTCATGTGTGACGTCCGAAAAGGAACTTCTACGCGGAAACCCCGCATAAATCCCCAACTTGTGGCACAACAGGTTATAATGTTATAAAATTTTGGTATAATATGTTCTTAATATATTATGACAATAATAACACATATTAAGAGTATAATGTAAATTAAGGAATATAATTATATTAACAGCACTTTATATGTAGGTTGCACAGCAACAATATGTACCACTTTTGAAACCAGGAAAGAAGGAGGGTGGAAGTGGAGGTAGTACAACGAGTAGTGGTAAAGAAAAAGACCGTAAATTGGATAAGCCACGACGCAAAAATAGGCATCCGCCTCGTCTTAAAAATATAGATCGTAGTACGGCTCAAACCAATGAAGTGACAGTAAATAATGTTACTGTCGTTATTACAGAATATAAGCCCAAAGTAAAAAAAAGTTCAGATCAGTCTGGTTTATCTAGCAGTGCTTCTTCTGAAAATGGAAGCCAACATGATTCTAATCAAGATTCTAGAAGTCTGGATATAGGAACGGATGCTTAGCTCAATGCTATATCACATATGTGTATGAATTAATCTAATTAATATATTGCATAATGTATGTCAATCTCCATGGACTGTGCTCCATCCTGTAGACAAAAACAACCATTTTGTCTATATGTTACAGGTTATATAATATTCAATGAGGTCAGATTGTTTTATGCTATCAGTGGAATCATTGAATTATGTCTTCAATACAATATAAGAAGTATGTCTTGCATCATTGTTTCATACTGATGTCAAAATTGTCTATTTCATTATAATAATCTACTTCGTATATAAAATGTCAACAGAAGTTAGTTGTACTTAATGTTATTTATTTTATAGTTTGACAGTATTCTAAATTAATTTTTAATATTTGATTAAATATTTTAGATAATTTTACTAGTGTCATTTCGGATATTATTCTATTTATTTATTGATTGTAATGAATGCATTATATGCATTAACACGGCAAATGTAATTTGATAATCTATTGTTGACATAACAATGCCCACATGACTTTCATTGAATCTATAACACCACTGCCAGAAAGCATGTTGTAACATTGTTAATTAGAATATTTTAATGAACTCATTTATGTATAATACGAAATATTTAACTTGTTTATTTAATAATTACTAGAATGGAGAATTACGAAACTGGCATTGGTACGTACATACCTATATCCCATTCCAAATTATTTATAAATTCGATCTGTTCCAAGCTTTATACTTTCATAGCAATTAATTTCATTGATGAAAAAATTTTTAATTTATACATAGATATATACAAAAGATTATGTAATTAAAACGCGTAACATAGTACGTAATATAAAAAGGAATAAGTGACATACAGTTTTACATATTTTAAGTAGATTTGAATTTATAACAAAAGATTTTTGTTAACTTTGATTGCTCATTATCATGAAACACAGGTGTAATTTTTATGTACTTCTTTATTGCCCATACTTTAATAATACTAGAATATATAGATTCAATATACTGTTAAAAGAAAATAATATTTGACCAATCTATTAAATATTAATTTTCTTAAGTAGTAAAATTTAAAAAAAAATATTTTTTTTTAGTATACTACAATAGAGCTAGAATGCTGCTACAGCTAGCTCATATTAGTTACTGCCTGATCACTTGTAACTGTGATTTATAATTTTTTCCTTGTATTTATTTTTAAACATTTTACGTTACCAGGTAATAAATAGCATTACCGAATTGAATCACACAAAATTTGTTGTGAGTGTAAGGACCATAAATAATAGAATTATTTTGTAACTGCATGAAGATGTAAAATGTTATATGTACAACCAATTCTTTTTAAATTCGTGTAAAATATTTGAATGCTAGTTAGATTGAAATATAAAAAGTAACTTGTCATTGCAATTACTATTGTTTATCATAAACATGAAAGTAAATAATACTTTTACAGACATTTATACATACAACTATTGCATTATATAGGTAATAAAGAATTATGTAATCATGCAATGTTAAAGAGAAATTATAATAACGATACCTGAAATTCTTATAGTTGCCATTGGTAAATTGTTCTCCATAAATGTCACCAATTTTATAAATTTTATAAAATGAACGTCAAATTTACATTGAATAGAAAATAATTCTAACTTTTTGCGTTTATCATTGAACTTGCGAAACACTACTTTTGTTCTGGTATCATAATTTACTTTTGCCGAAAACAAATGATTTTCGTGAAAAATGTTTTACATGATATTAGAATATTCACAATTTATTATTAATTTTACAACTTATACGGTACACAATATATTTTGAAAATCCGAACTTCTTACTATGACACATATTTAATAATCACTGATTCGAAATATACTTTTTAAATAATTTAATTTTTTGTAATTTTATGATATTGGATATATAAATAAAAAATTTTTACCAATTGTCTTTAATGTATAAAAAAAGTGTTGAAATTATATTGAATTTGTGTGTGTTGTAAATGATTAGAACAAAATTACTATGTTGTACAGACTGTAAAACTTTCGAAAACTATTGTTGAAATTAACATTATATTATTGCAAAGAAAAATAAACTACATGTTTTAAGAAGAAAGAATAAAATTATAATTTAATCATCCAAGTATATTCCTTTTTAATGTTTTATTTATATCATAACAATATACAAGTATCAAAATACGGGTACTGTACCTTTAATTTGCAGTCTTTACAAAATTCATCATTGAGATTTGACTGTTTTATGTACTGCCCTTTTTGTGTTTAGTTAATGTTTTCGGTCCACGCGCGTTAAGCATCATTGAATCCATATTTTCAGTTACATCCACCATTTCTTCTGTATCATCTTGTGGACTGGTATTGTGATTATTCCCTCTCGGTGCAGCATCTATTCTAGATTGAAATCTTTCGCGTACTGTATAGAAACAAAATTATATATTTTGTTTAAATATTACGAATGTCTAATTATACGAAAATGTAAAATTTGTTGTAAATATACCTTCTGGTATATCCAAGAAATTAAATACTTTATAGTTGCATGATTTGCTGTCTCCGCCAGCAGCAAATACAAACGGGTTATCTGGATTTGGTGCAAGACATAGTAGGGCACCAAGATTACTTTTCTTTTCTAAAATTAACTGTGGTTCCGCGGTATTAATAATATCCCATATTTTTATAATACCGTCATTTGCCGAGGTAACAAGAAGACCAGGACATGATGAGCTAAGAGATAAACCTAAAGTCACAATGTAGAAATTATACCCTGTGTTAACTTTAATTATTTTCACTTAAGTCTCACCAACATTTACCTGTAACTTCGTTTGTGTGAGCTTCTATACTCCAAATAGGTTTATCTTCTCTAATATCAGCATAGTGTAAGTATCCATTAGTAGTACTTACCTGAAATGAGTGTAACACGTTTATATATGTATACCTCATGTTACATATAAAAGTTAAATATTTAATGTACCTACTATACAGTAATTTGAATCAAAATGATTCCATAACACTCTTTCTACTTCTCCTGATACTTCCCAACATTTCACAATTGTTTGATATCTGCAGTCAAATAATCTCACTACCCTAGATACAAAATTAAATATAAATATTTGAAAAATAACTGAGAAATATTTCTAATTAATTAAAAATTAATAGACATACTTATCTGCACAACCTGTCAATAGCTGATGTGTTTTTGTTGGATGCCACTGTATTGATTGAACTTTTTCATTAAAAGAAGCAAACTTATTGACAGGTGTTCCATTCTCTAAATCCCATAGTAGAACTGTTTGATCAGCTGACCCACTAGCAAGAACATGTCTGAAAGAAGTTGATAGTGTTACGTTTAATGATAAATATACAATTTTTAATTTTAATTGTATTATATCACTGACACATAATTTTCATTCCATGCCAAATCTAACACAGCATCCTTGTGTCCAACACGTTTTTGATTTTTCTTTTTACTTGGTTTTCTACCAAGTTTATAAGCTGGTTCTAAGCAATCTATTAAATCCAAATCCCATACATCTATTACAGAAGTCATATTTCCAATTGCACATAAATTACCTTGAAAAAAACAATGGCATTTGTATTTAAAACTTATAATTTCATAAATATTATTTTTACTTACTTAGTTTTGAATCTGCAGGATCATAATTAAGCCATTCTATACACAATGGGAATGATGGCAACAATATGTCATGATGACAATAAAACGAACCTTCAGCTTCGTTATAAACTGAGAAGACAAATAAATCATTTGTAAAAATATAAGTTTGTTCATCAGAAAATAAAAATTCAGATATTTTAGACAAACCAAATATTTCTAAAATGCTAGCATCTCCATCAACACGTCCTAGTAATACAAGATTGTCATCACTTTTAATAGCATCATCTTCTTTTTCAGAATCATCATCTTCCCCTGTCACTAAGGGATCTTTACCATCTTCTCCAAAAGATGCAATATTCTTAATACTGCAATGTATGTTACTGGCTGCATATAAAAATGAATATTTTAAGAAAAAATTTGACTCTTATTATTAATATAACATATCAAATTATTTATCATACATTCTTCATCATATTTGTCAAAGTTATATTCATCAGTTACATCAAGCTCGGATTCTATTTCAATTTTCTGTTCTTTAGTGTTATCCTGTTCTCCATCTGAATCATTTTCAGCATCTCTAAGAAAACAGAAATGTTTTAATAATTGTAAAATTATTTTTCTATTAACTAATCACAAATTATTATAATACCTACTGTAATTCAAATTGTGTTTGTTTTATAATCAGTTCCAACTCTTGTGGTGTCAATTGAACCTAAAAGATCCAGAACAAAGATTCAATATGTTATATGAAACAATAACAGCTAGGCTTATATTAAGATGAATTAAAAGCAAAAAGTTGACTCAAATCTGAATTGAATTTTGAATTTTATGTTAATAATTAACCTTTTGAGGGGTTGTAGAGGCAACACCTTTTTTTACCCAAACTGTACACGGTATTACATTCATTTTTTATGTTTATATATTTACATTAAGAATTATAATACAAATATTTACAATTTCGTATAATAATGTTGAATATTAAGATCAATATAGAAATCCACGTGGTGCATTTGCATCTCACATTGCACGTGGAGATGACTCAGATACAAAAGGACAGAACGTGCCTTTGTTACCGAAGGGGTTATGATTTTAACGATCCAGATTACGATGCATGCGCCTTCTATGTACGCCTACCGCATGACAGTCTGTCAAAAGTAGTATTTTGTAATCTTAATATTTAAGATTTATTAAATTTATATACATTTATAAATTGAAATTTGGTATCTATAATTAGGGATATTAAAAATGACTGCGGTAAGTTGAGAAATTATGTTACGTTCGCTTTTAAAATGGTATGATTTGAATCTTTTCAGGTTATAACTGATTTAAATGTCCTAAGATAGATACACAATTTTTGTATCAATAGATCTTTATTTTATTAAAAAGAAATATATAACATAATAATTTAATAAAATTACGTTATTTATTTTTTAATTTTTATTATTTCAGGAATTAAAAAAGTTTCTTTACGGGCTTGTAAGTAGCGTAGAAGGACTTCACAGTATATTGATAACAGATAGGGATGGGGTACCTGTTATTTCTGTTGCTGATGAGAAAGCACCAGAATTAGCCATGAGAGCAAGTTTCTTGTCTACATTTGGAATGGCTACAGACCAAGGAAGTAAATTAGGACTTGGAAAAAATAAAACTATTATATGCATGTATAGTAGTTATCAGGTAACAAAACAGTACATGTTTGTACAATATGTTATTACATTTTTGTATTACATTATCTTTTTCTCTTAAAACATATATAACTTGTTTCACAGGTCGTTCAAATGAACAAGTTACCTTTAGTTATTAGTTTTATTGCTGGTCATAACTGTAATACAGGTCATATTTTATCTCTGGAAAGTAAAATTGATCCAATCCTAAGCAATTTAAAAAATGCAGTAGTGGAAGCCTGATGGTTACCTGTTGTGCATTACGGGTGATAAATACCAAATGTTTACAGTTAAATTTGGTAAACACTTGTAATGAACACAAATATTACAAATAATGCTAGAGACTTTATTACATTATTGTTTGTCTAATTTACAAAAAATATTCAAATTACAATTTTTTATATTTGTATTTCCTTTCATTACCATTTTTATATATTTTAAATAGCTATTTGAAAGGAAGAAAGTATCTGAAATATTTTATAACAGAATAATGTAAGAAGTGGAGGAAAGATTTTAAAGACTTTACAAATTTTTGTAATAAATAGAAAACAGTTTCTATTGTACATCATCAAAGAAACATTTCAATACTTTGCAATATGTAATTTATATTAAAAATTAGAGTATAAATGTTTAAAGAAAAGTTATTCAAGTTTTACATGTGTAAATAGTATAAATCTGTGTAAAAAAAGGGTGATATTAAAGTATGTGTTATATGTGGTTATATCAGTAAATATTCTTAAACATATAAAAGTATATCATTTCAAATGAACATGTGGTATTAAACTATATAACAAAACTTTATAATTCATACACTAATGGCTTACCCTCTAACCCATTGAGAATGTTTTGTGCTGCAGTAATCGACATATCAGTCCTAGTTTTCACAGTAGCACTGCCCATATGTGGTATGATCACTGCAGTACATTATATACATATTAATGTACATAAAATTTTGCTAAATATTTCTATGATTAAATAATAAGCAAATACTATGTAAAATTGTAGAATATAATTTCTAATAATAAAATATTAATCAAACTTAGAAATAGTAATTTATTATCACCCGACATGTTTATAATGTTAAATGTATTTATATAATAAATGATACTAACCAGCATTAGGAAGTTTCAGAAGTTCATGGTCAGGAGGTAGTGGTTCAGGGTCCGTAACATCTAGTCCGGCCGCAAAAATAGTTTTATTACGAAGTGCTTTAACCAGAGCTTCCATATTTACAACCTTTCCACGTCCAACGTTTACAAATACTGCCGTTTTTTTCATTTGACCGAAAGTATTGTCGTTAAACAATCCCCTTGTTTCATTAGTTAACGGTACAGCAACGATTACAAAGTCACTTTGTTCAAGAAGCTCATCAAGGGATACAAAATGGGCGCCAAGTTCATCCCCTACTCAGAATTTAAATATTTAATAAAACTCTATTAAATTATTGATGCGTTTCATTTTACCGTACCTGCTTTTTTACGAGAATGACCTGTATAAACAAAACGACCCACATCAAATCCTTTTAATTGTTTGACAATAGCTTGCCCAATATTGCCCAAACCAACGATACCAACAGTTGATCCTTGGAAACCGTGACCGAGCAACCATTGCAGATGACTGTCCACTTGACCTCTACATTTATGAAAAAATTAGATTTAAAGCTTTTAAGCTTTTTAATGGAAAATTTGAAGTCTCTTTCTAGTTACTGTTCAAGTTTCAGACGTCCTTCGTGAGTTCGTCTCGCTGCGCCTAACGCCAAGAATACAGCAATTTCTGCAACTGCAGCCGATAAAACTATAGGTGTATTACCGACTTTAATACCTCTTCTTTTAATTTCGGGAACGTCCAAATGATCGTAACCAGCTGATATCGTTGAAACTACTTTCAAGTTTGGTCCTGTTATATATTTTAATAAATAAATGTATGATTAAATATGGTATTCTATCAGCTAATCAAATTTCAAATTTCAAATTAATTGACCATGTCTTTTTATTTAAAAATTTGAAATTCTATAAAAGTATAGCTTACTACTATTACATATTTACCTGCAATATCAAGAAATTCACTATTTACATTAATGTGACTTGTAATAAATACCGCATCGTGTCCTGGTAGAGCTTGTAGCACATCTTCGCGTTTAGTCTTATAAGTTTGAATGATTGTGACATCGCATCTTAATACAAAAGAATGTTTAAATATTAGAATAATTTAAAATTAAATTTGTCTTAATTTTGTTATGAAAACAATTTGCTTACTTTGTACGTAAAAGATCTATACCAGCAGAAGGCACATCGTTACTAGTGACTAATACACGTGGTTTCATTGTAGCGTTTCTGTGTCGTTATTACTTTGTAAACTGATTAACCCGGGATATTCCTCGCATTATATAAGCGCAAGATCTGATTATACGCGCAAGCGCGATCTGACATAAAGATAACAAATGATATTTTTTTTTGTAGCTCACGTATAATAGCTACACCTATACGTCTGTAATCTATAAACTTACACTTTTTAATGGATACAATTACATAGACAGAAATAAAGTTAAACATCATTAAAATGAAAGTATTTATTCTGCAGTTACTAAATGTGTATTATTTTTGTAATTTTGTAATTTTTGTAAAGAAGTGATAAGAATTGAAGTAGTAGGTATCAAAAAGTAGTGCGCCTATTTGTATCAAGCTACTTTACTACCACCTTCGTTATATACGTCCCTGTTCAGTACAAACGCTACTTTCTTTCAATGATAGACAAGTTAGCACATATCTGACATGTAGTTGAGATAATTTACACATCAATCATTGTCAATAAAAATATCAATATGTCAAGATAGTAGCGTAACTGCATTTTTATCATAGAATAATCGATGTTCTTCTACCGAACGTAGATTAGATTAATATTCTTATTATTAAACGTTTTGTCTATTCATATCATTAAGATTAATATCATTAATATTTTTGATTACTGTAAAATAAAATGCTATATTACTATAAAATTGAAAACTATAATTGAATAAAAAATGCATCTAATATTTTTAACAATCAAATAAACTGTGTATTGTATTTATCTGAAATGTATAGTTACGTATTAACAAATTAAATCCCAACTCCTTCGGTGATTCCAAAACGTGTAGTAACAGGGAAACATGTAACAGAGATACATCGTACGTGTTTATTTCCCGCGAATATAAGTATAATTCCTGCTTCTTTTCATATGCACATAACAAAGCGCATAAAAATGATCGTAGACGTAGCATGTATAACATCGTTATTGTATATAGTTCAGTATATTACATACAATGATCCTCATCTGAAACGAATTCAAGGAAATTTCTAGTTAATATAGCAAAATGTGATTGAAACTATATTTGAGGTGTTGCATGCGTGTATTACCCGTTCACAATAAATGTACCTTCTAAAATTTTTGTAACAGGAAACTATAATATACGGAGGTAAAATTATAACTACATACTCGCTTATTGACTACCTACGCCATTCTAGGAGAACAATGTGTAAGCAAGAATTACTATCTTCTATAGTAGGAAAGCATAACGTACTTTAAACTTTAAGCATTCAACAAAGTTTTATAAGTGCTTACGTACGCATATAACTGTAATTTATAATTTAATGGTTAATATATTTAGAAGTTATAGTAGAATAATATGAATTATAAACATATGGTGAATTTTTATTTATAGTAGATAATAATAAAAAAGAATTTAGATTGCATTCAATATTTACATTTTAATAATCAAGTAGAATTTTAAATTGCACATTTCAGATAACAGGAAAGTTAAGATATTTTCTTCCATCATCAACCACGATATCCTGTTATGATCATCATTTTCGTCCATTAATTTCCTTCATAACAATTACCTAGTTTAAAGATTAAATTGTATGAAAACAAAGTTTATACCTATTTAAAACATAAATAATGTAATTTTTTAATTGATGTTATGAAGTTTGATTAGATATTACTGTTCGCAGTACCTGAGAGACTAAAGTATGTATGTTTTAACGAAGTTGGTAATTGAACGTATAACATACTCAAACTTTCAATGCTGTACACAATATTTATATTATGTTACTTGTGTTCCTGTATAGAATAAAAAAATTGTACTGCATCTTAATTTGTACTGTAAATGTTACATTTAAATCATCTGTCACGTTCTAATCTTGGGGTCTACGTCATGACCTCTTTTGATGGTATTACCAATATAACAAATAAGGCTAATACGATTTTTTAATTTATATTACATGTTATGATATTTTGTTTACAAGATCAACATATGACAAAGATCAATGTAAAATAAAGGCTTTATTACAATGTATCATATAAACACCGTATATTTGTATTTTTTTAAACGAGTTTCAATTTTACCGTTGGTAGCATACTGTTTTAAAAATACGATTTCCGATCTGAACTCGAAAACCTCTCGATATTTACAGACAGACGAAACCGGTTAATAGAACTTTACTTAAAACAATTTGAATGTGTATTTAAACTTGCACTAACTCTTTATAGTATTTTTTTATAACTTATATACATAATAAATGTTTTTTATAAGTACTTCGAGGTTATGAAGCATTACATTCATAACAAATCCGAAGCATGTTCCACGTTTAAATTAGAATCAGCATATACGAAAGTAGATAATACGAAACTAATAATATATTTCAAATATTAAAACATAAAATGAAGTGGGTACCACGATACTTTACAGGACCAATTTTACTTGGTTTATCCTTAACAAGTGTTAGCATTGCTGTAATATATGTATTATATAAAAAGGTAAGATCAAATCAAAGGTAAGATCAGTTTATCTACTTATAGATGTATGTATTTCTACTTTAATTAATTTAATTAAACAGGATGAAGACGATGCACAGTCTAGAAGAAACAATGTTGAAGTTTCAAGACGAGTTACAATAGAATGTAAAGTACCTAAACAACATGTACCTGCTGTTATTGGAAGAGGTGGTTCAATGATACAAGATGTACAAAATAAAACAGAAACGCAAATACATTTTAAGAAAGAGGATGTTGAATGTTCTGAACGTATTTGCATCATAAGAGGAAGCCATGAAGCTACCCAATTGGCTGAAAAGATGATAAAGTCTATAATTGAAAATCAGCCAATAATTGAAATATATGAAATGTATGTACCACAGAAGGCATGTGGAAGGATAATCGGAAAAGGTGGAGAAGTTATACAACATATTCAGATAAGTTCCGGTGCAAAGATCATTGTTGAAAGTGGCTATGATCCCTATAATCCAAGTATGTTACTTTTTTGCACAAATGTTTCTAATTGTGTCTTTTTTTTCATAACTAATACTAATCTATTACAGATGTGGAAAGAAGGATCATTATAAAGGGAACAAGCGAACAAATTGCTGCAGCTTTGTCACAAATTGAAGACAAAGTTCAGGAGGAAAAAGAGACACGTGCAAAAATAGAGGCTTCTTCTGCAACAAGATTGCCTAGAGGTAGATTGTCTCCACGCAACACCACTGTTAGTGCAGCTGAACAATCACAAACAGCTGAACCTTTATCATTACAAAGTATGCAGTGCATCTAATTCAAACAGCGCAATAATGAATGTCAATTGGTTTAAACTAATTATATGTTATTTTTAGCTACTGATGGAGTAATGGAAGTGTATGTATCAGCAGCAGAAAATCCTGCTCAATTTTGGATTCAAGTTGTCGGTCCTGGAACTATAGCTTTAGACGAATTAGTTTCTAAAATGACTGTATATTACAATGATGAAGAAAATCAGCAAGTACATGCATTACAAAATGTAAATATATAACCATATATTGGACTTTTGAAATAACATTTTGGTTAGTTATTTTGATTATGTTATTTGTTTTAGGTAACATTTGGCCAAATGGTTGCTGCGAAGTTTAGTTTTGACAAACAGTGGTACCGAGCTGAAATTATTTCTGCTCCTGAAAATGGTCAGTGTGAAGTATATTTCGTGGACTATGGAGATCATGAAGTGGTTCAATTGGACTCTGTACTACAACTTCGAACCGACTTTTTAAGCTTACGGTTACAGGCAATTGAGTGCTCCTTATCCAACATTAAACCACGGTAAGCGACTTAATGTTATCTTTTATTTTCATTTAAGTTCATTGATAAAATATTCCTGTTTTACGCATATAAAATTCTTAGCAATATATTATGGATTTACAATGATCTATTAATTTGTTTTGATTTATTTAAAAAAAGGGTAAAGTTAATTACTTAATTCACTATCGTCCATATTACTCGATCTTGAACTGCCAATACCAGCCTCGCAAACTTCATTGAACAATTCTGGATTCACTTGTTCCATCATTTTCCATGCTAAACTTTTATTCAGTATTGTTATATTTTCCTCGCAGTATGCTAAACTTGCTTTCTTCAGTGCATCACAGTCAAATTGATCAGCAACCAGAAGCCTACTTGCTATGTTTTCGGGTGTTATTGTTTCAATAAGATTCCTCTCGCAAAGTTCTTTCAATCCTAGAAAACAATTATAAATCATTTTATAGTTGATATTATATTTTCGTTTAATCGTTCAATTTCATAACTCATGGTACCTTGTAAACAAAAATGGTCAGCAAGAGATAAAAGTTGAGAAGCCAAATTATCAAGATTGTCCACATGATCAGTGTATATGTATCTTAACAATTCTTCTACCACCTCTTTATTAAGATGCAACAATTCCAGGAAGTATGTGTAGTCATCCTAAATTATTTCAAATACATGATATTGTAATAAAGTCGTTACTTAGAAAATCTAATAAAATAAAGGGCAAATACTCACTCTTGAAATTAGCAAACTCGGTTAGGAAAAAACATCACTCATAAATTACATACATTCCTGTGATATAATGCAGGATTATGTTAGCTTAGTATACAAAATTATTAATAATTACATAATTTATTATTCTATAGAAAATCAAAAATAATCTTTACTTAATATGAATCTATAACATCGTCGGTAGAGAAAAATTTTTTTTTGATAAGCCAAATCAAATTCAAATAACAAAGACATTCATTTGTTAGTGTGTTTGTTCAACACAAAAGAGATTATTTTGAGCATTCTGTAACACAGGTGCAGAGTAACGCCTGGCACGTACACTAAAACATTTGTTTTCTTTAGAAATCACGTTTCCTACATGTGATTCTGGCGTATCTGATATTTTATCTTCTGCGGTATCCGTATTTTTCTGTTCATCGGATTTCCTTAAGGGCGACATCATTTCAGCCAGAATGTGACTGCGAGCAGCTAATATATTACTGTGAACTGGAATCTCTGTGATATTTAAACCTCCACATGATAATTTGGTATCAGCACTATATGGGTGTTTGAGTAGTCTAGCCATATCCTGTAGCACATTAATTTTACAACTAATTATTTTTTAATTTATAGAGTTAACGGCGATTGGCACTAAAAGGTTCGAAAATTCCGAAATTCTAGAATTCTAAAATACGAGACTTGGCCCACCCTAGAATATTTGAAGTACTTGCCTGGGACAAGTTATGTTTCTCGCTTTCGTATTGGATTATCTGTATCTTCACCATTAACAGAATTTCACCATTCTTATTTAAATGCCTATCGACGATGGATAAATCCCTGTAGCCCAAGGAAATAATATCTAAACAGGATTTTAACTCGAGTACTGTCCTGCTAACGTGACAATACTCCCAATATTTAACGTCGGCATTGAAAACTGCAAATTGAAATCGTATCTTTGCTTGTTCCGCTTCATCTACGGTGCAGTTCAACATGTTCAGGCACAATACCACTGGGTTTATCATTCTTTTCCCTGTCACCAAACACCGCACCATTCTTTCGTTTAATAAAATCAATATTGATCATTGTTTCAGACGATGATGAAATATAGGAATATGCATTGAATTGTGAACTGGCCAATGTTTAATCAAATTGATGATTCATTTAACTATTATTAAACAAATTTAGTTGTTAGACAATATAAGAACCTTGAAGCATAGGTGAGCATATTTGTGACTAAGAAATAATTTTTTATTTGAAATTATTGAAGTTGTAATCATTAGATAATTGCATGGTGATAGTGGGACAGCAGTAATGATGATGATGAGAATCGTTTTCCTTACCGTCAGGATTCTTCCAAAACCTGATGGAAAGATTCCAAGTACTATGAATGCCATTTACATTTACGTCGAATGACGGGCTATCAATAAAGCTCTTCTTCAAAATGGATTTTTTATAATTCGGTACAGGCCATGTGTATTTGAACACCACGTCTGAAACTGTTGGTACTAGTAGCTCCATTTTATACTTCTCTCGTATAAATAGCAAAGCCTATAACATCAATTTATTATTTAATGAACTATTGTATTCCAAAAATTTGTTTTTCGTCAAATTCTTTTTCGAAGCATTACAATTAAAAGTACCAGTTTTAATGGCAGTGCTGCAAACAAAGCTGCAGTGATATTTTTTTTTTCTTTTACTATGCTGTAGCAGCACTTTTCGTGCATTTTATTTTGGCCGTTTCGCAATTCACTTTCGATTCTTTCGCATCCGTCTGTCTAGCGGCAAATGTAATTCTCGTGGTGCAGTGTAATTGCAGCGTGCAGTCACGATAAAGCTTTGAGAAAGTGCGCAAAACGCTTTGCCGATTGTTAAACTCTCGCGTTGCACATGCACAAAGTTTTAGGTATAAATCGCAGGTTCAACGGTAGTACACGAACGTCTGGCGCAATGCCAGTTTCCGATCTTAATTTATCTTTATTTAATACTGCATTTTGGAATATGAAGCTGCATGGACAGCTTGTGTAAAATTTCAAAGACGAATAGAAATGAGTAATTTTCTCAATTTCAGTACACATTAATAATGCTATGAGATATTAAAAATCACGAATAAATTCATCACAAATAATAGCCCGTTGAAATTGCTGGGTGAATTTAATCGAGGCATTTGAATGCACAATTTCAATTGAGGCGTGTTTTCCAGTCGACGAAAATCAGATAACCATAGTCAGATTGATTTATCCCATCGAAGCAATTATTTTATTTAATCTATTATTGTAATTTAGAATCGAGGGAAAAGTAAAAATAAAAATTGAAGTAATAATTTGAAATATTTGAAAATTTCAAATATCTATTATCATTCAGAAATGAAATGAGCCTGGTATAGTGTCATGAGTATGATTAGAATGGGGATAGATTCCTGTCGGTAGTTGAATGCGAATTTAATCAATCTGACCGAATAGCATGGCTCGCATCGCGTGCCCCGAAACAGCTAATCATCGGTGCAACCTCGAAGATAATGCACACACGATGGTTTTCGAGTTGGAATTACCACGGTACCTAAGGTCTTCGGTTACACGCGACACAACGAGGGCAAAACCGACGAGTACCTCGTTGCCAGAAACCCGCAGACCACTCCTAAACGCTTTCTATTTTCGTTACAGTTGTTTCCGTCAATTTTGATTTTTCAAAGTGCAAAGCATCTTTTGTTTTTCCATTATCAAACATCTTAACTTATCCTATCATTCTCATTTCATTTCATTTCATTTTGATTTCTTATGCGTTTTAGTGCTTTTTTTCATTTAATTTTTTTACTGTTTTAGGCTTTCATAAAGGTCTAAAAATATTATAGGATACTTATCAAACACTCTACTACATCATACATCAAAGATTCATTACACAAGGGTTAAAACTGTGTTTCATAAAAACAAAAATTTAGAGGAAAGTAAACTTCAGATCATCTGTGGAGAGTTAATCTACCTAAAATATATGGAGACATAGTAAACTGAACGTTTACAAAGTTTAGAAACTAAAAATATCCTCATAACTCTATAAATAAGTGATAAAACTTTTATGGAAATTTACATAATACACAAGTATGAATGAGAGGACAGTGAAGGTGACAAAAGGTCCCTTTGCAACAACAAGAAGCACAATGGAACCATTAGCTTTAAGAGCAAATTAACAAATGAAATAATCACACTGAATGGTCCTTAATTGACGATAACGATGTCCAAGACCATTACAAATACAAATCTATTAAGATCCTTCATTTCTAATTGTAGAGGTACTTGTATTATTCTTCGATTTTGGTTTCTCATTCTCTATGTCAACTTTAAAATTTATTATTTATAATATGATAGGCAGAACATTGGCGACACAGCAAGCTTGGCAACATTCCTCTTTGACATTCAAACTCCACCACTTGACACTGTTTCACATCAAAAAGAGCATGAGAACACACATTTACCAAGTAAATGTATACTTACGTGAATATAACGTCTGTAATAACGTTCATTAATGCATCGAACTCAACAATATTTCTTGTTAATAAAAAAAGCCACACGAATTGAATGTTTTGCACTGTGCATTTAATGTTTCATTTGTGTTCACAACACAAAGTAAAGCAAAAAGAAAAACAAAATTATAATTTTAATTCACTGTTGTTTATAATTACAATAGTTTTTTGCCCTGATTGATTAATTATCAATGAATTAATATTTTGTTATTATGCTGTCACAGTGAGAATTGTATTCAAGTATAATAGACAATATCACTGGTACTTGTGCTTTCTATTGTCTCTTATGTCTCTTTGTCTTTTTTTAACGAGGATATTGTTCACCACGAGGATCGTGAAACGACTGAGACACTCTGTCCATTACTGAGAGTCCTATGCTCATCTTCCACTTCATCTTCTCGCACGTGTACACTTGTGCTGTGCCGTTTATAAATGGAACAAGACGCCCCGAAACTGCTTAAGCCTTGGTAAATGGGGGTGCTTCACGCACATGTTCTTTGTTTCGTGTTACGATACCTCTATTATCCTCAAATTCGGCTTTGAAACAGGGTTAATGGTAATTGCAGAGAGGAAGAATGATATGAAAAGTGGATAACTGAGGCGAGAACAAAGTGACTTGAAAATCTAATCTAAAGTCTAGATTAAAGATTAAAGTAATGATTCTACAAAAAAATGTTAAGACAGTACTTAAATACTTAAAGTACTAAGCATCGCATGATACTTCATTTGATATCATTTAATTTTTTTTTATCTTCTATTATTTTAAAATTCTGCTCAGTTGCACAGGACACCCTGTATGCACTATTTCTGAGATTCTTCTTGAAGTTATATTGCATAAATATTCACATGTTTTGTTTATCTGGCTCAATCATCTGGTTACAGTAACTGGTGTAAAATTAGTATGAGGAAAATTACCAAAGTTTAATACAACATTCCTTGAATACCATTCGATGCCTTGAATCCAATTCAAGAATTGAATGTTCCATGACACTGTAGGTATAAGGTGACTTGATAAAAAATTTGTTATTCTAGAATGTTATTTATATATTTAACGAAGTATATTAATGTCTTAAATTGATGGGACGAAATAACATTTCTGGGCATGCGATTGTCTTCCTGTTGCCAAATCACCGACATGTTTATTACGATAAATTTCGTAGTAACTTCGCAATACGAGGATTCACCACGGCCAATATCTGGTTGGAAAATTTATCAATGATACTTGGTTTAAGCAACAAATATATTGCTAAGAAGATATAAATCATGATATTTAATCATTCGCAGTTAGAGATTACGTGGAAGAGTTAAATATAGAAGAAGCAATTTTTAATATTGTATGTTTCTTATTTTCTATGATTCAGAGGCAACGAGTGGAGCAGCGAGGCTTGCGAGAGATTCGAAGAACTCACTTGGCTAGCTGAGTGGAAAATGTTGATAGCTGAAATCAAAAGTTACAAAGAACGAGCTGTTAGCTATGGGAAATCTAGACGTGAAGGATTACCAATCCCTTATGTTGATCTTTATGACAGAAACAATAAGGTAAGTAAACTGAGTATTAAGTTATACATTATTTCATTTGTTATATAAACTATACAAAATTGAATTTCATTTCTCTTCTCCATTATGAAATCGTATTATACTTTTGTATAATAATTTTCATATGTCTGATTCAAATAGAACATCAATATCGGTCAACAACTGATAAACGAAGGTTTTGCTGAGCCAGAAGAAGCACTATTGTCGGCAGCTTCTTCAACACTGTCGTTATCTAATGAAAGCCACGAAATCACTGGTATCTCAAGCCCTGTATCAACTTCACCGTTGGCAAAACGAACACTGAGCCCAGAAACACCTGCAAACACTTCACTTAAATTGGATTCGACCATCGAGTTTACAGACTCATCCATCATCGATCTTCAAACACCCAACGAAATTGATCTTACAACACCACTGGTGAGACTTCGTATTCATACTGTGATATCTGGATTAATAAGAACGATTCCTATAGAAATTTAAGCATCACCCACATATGACAATCAATACATTAAAATAGGACACTCTGTATACAGAACCATTGTAAAATCAATTTTACCTATAAATTCCTCGAGTTCACAGACATGGTTTGAACAAGAAATAAGATTTCTTCCATGTAATAGTGAAACGGGATCGAACGTATAATAGAAAGTCCATCGACATCCGTTTTTCCGTCTCGCCACGGAAAGCACGCTTGCTTGCGGTTAACCGTTAACACAACCGGGTCATTAGTATCCTCTGTATCGATTTCTTTCAGAGACGACATGGCGTGCCGATCGATGAAATTGATCTCGTCACACCGGTGAAGGATGAGACGGATCGGTTCATCGAGAACGAGAGGAAACTACGTCGAGAGGACGGGGGCGGTGATTATCTACGAAACGGAAATAGTAATCAACACGACAAATCTAAGGTGCAGTTGAAAATTGAAAAAGCATCGCAATTCGCTCCGGCTGGATACGAGAGTGATTTATCCAATGACTCGGACGAACTGGAATTGGGGTAAATAAATCAAAAGAAAAAAGTTAGACACCCTAATGAAGATCTGTGAACCATTTCCTTTAGCTTTATAGACAGTCTAGATAAGCCATATAGAATTAGTTTGTTCCGTCGAAATAACGTAGAATTTATAAGTAAGAAAATCCTGTGTGCTTTGCGTTATTGGCAATTGTTTTTTGTCTATATCAAAACGTTCCATGCTGCGTGAAAGTTTCAAAGTAAATTCAATTATATTTCTACATTGCTTCAATGTTAAATAATATTCTTTTTTTATTTCTAATCAAATGGTATGGGATACCGGTGACCCACGTAGCATAGAATGTTTCAAATTTCAACTTTGTACACTAACTTTGTAATACATCCGTAATTTATAGTAGATTATGGAAATACATATATACTATACAATTTATATTCTATTCAAGATTAATTGTTGGTTTCAAGTCATTTGGAAATTGAACATTACCTGATGTTCAACTGTTTTACATGTTTTATCTTGTGTAAAAATAAAACATCGTAAAAGAGATGAGTCCTTTTGATATGGCCGAAGAAATGCCTTTGAATAGGCAATTGATTTTGAACAGGTTGTAATGATGCGTTTATAATGTTTATACAAGTGATTTTTATTAATCACATGCGTTTTTTATCACACAATTTTTTATTATATAAGGATCGTGAATTGATACTGAATTTCTATAAAGTGATACAGATAAAGATTGACTATATTACTTGAGACAGAGGAGCTGTTAATGATCTGTGCTATTATTAATACAACTTTGATAATATGAAGTTTCTTCCAACTGTTAGATACTATCAAACTATAAAACAACTTGTTCTGCATTCTGGGCGAATATTAAAGAGCGTCCAACGAAACAACGACCTTGATAACAGTTAAGACATATTAAGAACAATTGCGACACGAAGCACAGTAAAATCCAAAAAATTTTCCTAATATGTACTTCCAAGTAGTCACGTAGTGCTACTGTTTAAGTCGTGCCTTGTTTTCTTCGTAACACATTCATTATAAAGTATGCTCAAGATTAACACGTTGACTGCATTTGGGTCACCGGTAGCCCACGCTTAAAATTTATATAATGGAATAATTAATAAAAGAAAAAAACAGGTGAACTATGTGTAATAAAAGTAAAAATAAGTAATTAAAGCATAATTGTATTAGACATGGCTATTTTCTATTTTTGTACCAGTCAACGTGTTATAAAAAGGAATGCGCGTTAAATTGCTTCGCGCATAATTGCTTTCATTAAAACATGGCGTGTAAAAAGAGAATGTAAGTATTACGACGCAAAGAGTTAAAGAAGACCTACTACGGGTCGTATATTTTTATAAAACAATACGAGAATAATATTAATTGATCGTAACCGAAGAGAAAGAGAGACAAGATAAAAAACATTTCTGTTAATGTATTTACTTAACGTTAAACGAAACTCGTTGTTGTTTCTTTTAGTTTATCTTTTTGTTTTCAAGTTATCTTATTTCCTTTAATGGTAAAATGTACAATAAGAACTGAATGTTCTAACGAATAAAATGATCGTTCTCTGAAGTTATTTATCTGTTCACCTCTAACGGAACCCTAAATCGTTTCCTTTCACTCGATCCATCGCGCTGCTTTCTCGGATTACGGCATCGTGATACCAGATCAACGATTTTTCGGGGCTTCTTGTCCACGAGTAAAAGTCGGAACAGCGGAGACAACCGCAAAAAACAGAGGACAAAGCCCTCGGTGAAGAGGAATAGTAGTGGTAGTAAGAGGAACAAGCGATATCGGAAGTTACCGCAGTGGAACAGTGAGTACATACATACAACTTGCTTGCCTGACCAACAACCCGATCCATATCTGTTTCCACTGTTACCCTTTTGCGGTCCTGTGTCTACTATGATTAGTTATCGGTTTTTATTCCAATAGATTTTATATCCACGGTGAATGACTATTAGATTTATGTTATAACTTCCTACTTCATTAACAAAACAATTCTTTCAATTTCGTTACCTAACTTAAAGAATACATAGTTCACATATTTGATTCTCTAATATTCTAATGTGTTCTGAGCTTCTAGACCATTTTATAAATCAAAGTTTATGCGACGTATTAAAATGATTGAAAAGGAATGAAAAGGATTGAATTTTTAAACTTACTTGTATACAGCTGTCAAAATAAAAAAAGTCGATCAGCGTCATCTAGCGGACAGTGCTCGCGGCTGAACTTTTGGTACCAGGATACATAATAGAATGCGAAGAGGTATTCGAGAATTGTACGACAAGGACAAAGCACTGCGCAACAAGGGCAGACATATGCTCCCGAAAACAAAATGGCGTCATTTTCGAAAATCTACTTCGTTAAGAATGAAAATTAATTTCTTTCCCCCTGCGTATAATTTATACGCTTCCGTGATTGCTTATTAAAATAAAGCAATATTAAATTGTTCACATATGTATAGTTTTTAGACATTTTACGCTAAATTATATACATAACAAATATAGAGACGAAGGCACGGATACGGCTGTGACGTTATTGACATTTTTGACTATTTGTTAATTAATTCTAATTAATTTATGGTATTTTATGATTGGAAAATGAAGTCTAGTTCAATAACTACTTTCTCAACATTAAATGTCACACGAGTCCTGAATTACTAATCAATAGCAAATAGAATATTTATAAATACCATACTTGAAAGTTTCTACGAACACAGAATTTGATTCTGTGAAATTATGACACTAGACAAATTGTACACAGAAAATAAGTAATTAATCGTTTCAATATGTTAATAATTGTTCGGGATGACGCCGTTCTGATTTGGGTGTGGCTATGTCTTCCCTTGTCGCACACTTATGCGATACTTCTTCACGTCCTACTATCCTGATACCAAAAGAGCAGCCGCGAGCATCGCTCGCTAGATGACACTGATCAAAATTTCATTTACCCGCGAAATACGTGCGTCAAAATTTGAACTCGTACAAGTAAAACGTTCTAATTCTATGTTCTAGTTCAACTAATGTTTAAATTTTAATTGAAAGCTCTTTAGACAGCAATATAAATTGAAAAAGTATTCCCTTTAAACTACGAAATAAAGCATTCTCAATACTAATTGTGTTTGAACGTAAAGCAAACACAAACAATGGTCAAACTGAGTTTTCTTACTTCCTAAACGAACACAAAAAACTTGCCGATTTTTGTGTTATTCGCCGCAGCAATCATTCTGGAATAAAGTAAATATTGGTTAAAGAAGCACTCCAAATAATTGCTGTTGCTCGGTGGTGTTCAGAGATCGGGGAAAATGAGAAAGCTGTGGCCGAGCGAAACGTATAAAACGATGTTAACTCGACCTCTCTCTTCAGTTCGACTAATATCTAAACTGTCAACAACAACGAGCAGACCGGAGATGAATAATTCGGTAAATTTATATTTCTCTTACAATTAAACCTTTCAATGTCATCTGTTATTCGGTACGTGTTTCTGAACCATCTTTGTGTTAGAACAGTGAAGATGTTTCAAGTCTTCTGAAGAGATGGTTTATTTTTTTAATTGCCCTATTGTCACTGTGTCTTTGTTTTCTCTCATAATTTCATACGATTGAATTAATACAAAAGATATATCAAACGATCGACGTTTTCGAAACAATAGGACGCGCTCTAATTGATCCCATTAGTCGAACTGTTAATCACCGGAAGAACTTATTAGGTCGATGATACCTTGTCTTTAAATTGCGAGTACCAGTTAATTGGTTGGTCGTAAACTAAGTAATAACCGATAAAACGAACCCGATCGATCGATTGAACGATTAATCCGACAGGAATAAGAAAATTTCTATTTCCAAATAAGATGTTATAGAATCATGGAAACATATTTGATCTATAATTTTATGATTAAACAAATAAATAGGACGAAGGTAAATTAAAATTTTCTGTTAAATTTGTTCAAGGGTGGGTCTTTGTAATTGCAATCCGTTACCTTGACCTTTTTCACGTATCTCTCGGGTCTGATATTAAATAATTACGCATTCGTGCTTGAAGTGGCTCGTCGAAAGCTGCATCGTTACTCGAATCGAGGGAAAGGAAATTATATACTGAGTAAATTTGTTTTGCTACTTCGTTTTCATTCATGATTACTAGATAGTATTTAACGATACTATTCATTATATTATTTCAGATAGTAACATTGCTTCTGTTGTGCGGCGTTTATGGTGTTTCGGCGGGTCGTCGTTACATCGCCATACCAATCGATGGACTCGACGTGATCGAACTAAGCCCAGTAACATTACCTGTACCCAGAATCACTCGACAAACCGAGGCATATGTACCCGTAGAAGTTCCTAGTGTTTCTCAGGAAGAGTTGAAGAATCCTCGAGCGGAAAGGTCCGCCGCTCATATCCTAGATTACGTGGATTTCGGTGGACAAACCAATTCCAATGGAGCTTTCAGTTGGTACGCTGATTATCCAGCTCATCATTGATGAATCCAATGAATATCAGATTATGGATATTAGGAACGATCCATTAATTCCAATTTTGAAGATTAAGAAATGTTATACGTATTCTGAATTGTTTGATCGTTGAAATGTTGGTCAAGGATTGTTAATTAAAATGATTAATACGTTAATTGCCATATTTAAAAATGACTGCAAATTTTGGCAGATTTCCGATATTCAAATTTTCTATATATATTTCAATAAATAAAAAATGTTCAGCTAGCTTGTTAATGGTATTCTTGTAAGACTTGTTAAAATGAAATACTTGTTAAGATGTATACATTGTTACGATTGTTTTCAATTATTGTTATAATAAAGTTGATTAATTTTAAACGTTTCTTTCATTGTGTTATCAACGAAAGTCTAACAATTGCAATTTTAATATTCCGAGTATTAATTTAATAACAAAAATGTAACAAATATTCAGAACAATGCGCAAATTACGCGCATGTATTACCGTCCCGAAATCAATATACTCACCTAGAATACCACCAATTCAACCAGATACATTTGCATAGTTTGGATAATGCAATTGCACTGTACCGAATACAATTCAATACAACAAATGAATCCACAGTGAATCGGATATGCCAAAATCGGCTCCACATCCGGTTCTTGTCTGCTTTCGTAACAAAATACAGAAAAGAAGGAACCGAGCGTATAATAGGTATTCAGAGTAATAATAGTTTTATTTTTCCGGTATATCATACCCATCGTTACAATACAATAAATAGCGAGAGAACGACAGTGTCTTTGTGTCTCTGTTTTTTTTTTGTTTGTTTGTTTTTTTAAGTTAATATCTATAATTTTAGGTACAACGATAACAATCTCGTCGAGGCGAGCATCATTCCTATCCATGGCGGAATTAAATTTAACGAGCCAACGATTTTCACGAATCACGAATCCTTTAAGTACCTTCAATATCTGAGCCATCTCTAGCCGGCAACAAACGGTGAGAAACGATAGGATCGATTGGAACGCTCGTTATTATTCTCGTCACGCTCTTCCTTTCGGTTTCCTCGTTCTTTTCACGCTCGTTTAACATAAATTTTCACGAAATTCACGAAACACGCAACAATCATTCTCCGTCATTAACGATTGATTGATCGGAATGGTATGTTCTAATTAACGAAACCGATTTAGCGTATATCGCTGTCTTTCTATCATAAAAAGTATTATATTTTAGGAACTGAAGAGATTGAAAAATATTGTCTGTAAATTTTCTTGCAACTTGTTTCTTGAACAGCGTGAATAATTCTTTGGGATGTAAAATAGAGCAAACGATAGATAACTCCTCTTTTATCGAACAGGTCGAGCTTACAAAGATCAGAATTGAGCTATGAATGTATAACACGGAAAACCACAGAAATCTAAATTATAAAAACAGGAAATTTCTTCGGTAAAATACGATCGTTTCGATGCTCATTCTTACAGATAATTACTCGTATCCTGTTCCGCGCTGAGACCTCCGTGCAAATACAATCATAGCCACAACAGATTTATACATTGTCGATCGTTGAAACATTCATTACTTCTTCAGCTTCAGGAATATTTCTTACGGCGTTCAGGTAAATCGTTTCGCGCGAAAAAAAAAAAAAAATATGTTTGTCGCTGGTCATGGCGTTACGTAAACGTATCATGGCATAGAAACGTTATTCTATTTCATCTACGAAATCACTTCTTTTTCCATTCGATACGTTGAATGCCGAAGAGAAAATGCTTCTGAACATTCCCCTATATTTTTAATATTAAAAGCCGACGATAACCCGCGATCAAATGGATTAATTGTTAAATTTAAGCTTTCAAATTAATATTTTATCTCTCAACGACATTCAACACGTCAAACCGCACTTCCATTTAATAATCGCTCGCTGAAAAGAAAAATGCATCTGAAAATATGATAAAAATGGAGAATCTATCCTATAGTTTTTACGGAAAATATGCAACGCAGTCGAAACATTGGTCCATTTGTACGAATTTGTAGAAATGAAAGTGAATGCCCTTAAGAAATTATCCGATAACCATGGATAAAAATATAATAAATTAAGATTGGTCCGTTTAATAATGAAAATTGAAGGATATTGTATAGCCATTTTTGTAGCATATCGTGATATTTATTTCTGGATCGACCAGAAACTTGGGAACGAGAATAAAGAAGTATCCGAAGCACAATTGCGAGCGTTATGCATTGTACTGAATGTATAATATAACAAGAGCTATAAGCGTACGATGGTCGAACATGTTACTGTTGTACTTAAATGGCATTAAATACGGCACCGAGGCACGTGTGTTCCTCTCGCAGCAATCAGCATAAACGTATTAGGTGTGTCGTGGGATCATATTTAAAAGTCGCTTAGGTAATACAGAAATTTTCAATAGAATATATGTAATTTTTCAACTTTTCAGACATTTCGATCCTCTTTTCGAACAAAAGATATTACGTCCTGGTAGATGGTATCGTTTCGTATATCCTAACTAAATTTACTCCGTAGTCACGCGAGATAAGTATTGTATATCCGCGAAGTTGTTGGCCGACGTTAGAAACCGTGGCAGCTGTTGGGAGAATAAAAAAGATTGAACGGAATTAATTGCACGGCTCTTTGCTTCGTAGATAATAATGCCGAATGATAAAGCTACACCGTATCATGATCGTTCCCACAAATTTATACATTCTAATCTTTTCTGTATTTAAGTTTAATTCTTCAGCTTTGCTGCTTTGATGAAAATTAAAAAGTATGTGAAACATGTTATAGTTTTCACTCTTTTTGCTATTGACACATCTGATTACACTTATTTCTAGACACACGTACCTAAACGAATTCGACCCACAAAAAACGAACGTGATCCAGGTACAACCGTTTGCTAAGATTAGCTAAAAGCGTGGAACCGATTTTGCGTATTATTAATACCTATCGTAATAATCAATGGAAAATAATACGAGTAAAAAATTATTCTTATTACTTCTATAAAATCGTAACATCGTTAACTTTGTGAACTGCAACGATCTACACCTACGCTGTAAGCGAACAGCAATATAATTGCGATTTAAAATTAACGCAGAGTTTAAACGATACGCTTAAATCCCGAAATGTGGAACACATTGAAAAGATAATAAATCTATTTCTTTAATTTTTGTAATTTTTATTTTGTCTTAAAGTACTTAAATCGAAAAACGGAGTTCAGGGTAAAAAATCATTAATTAAGCTGTCCAGATTTCGGGATTTAACGCGGGATAAAGATGCAGGTACTAGACACTATGCTTAAGAAGCAATCTCAACGTCGATGATCTTTCGCACCAACTAGTGATTTTCGTCGTTTCACGCACCAATCATTCTATGATAAACGTGACTCTCCTTTTTTCTCTCTCTCTCTCTCTCTCTCTCTCATAGTACATAAATGCAATTCCAGTTGAGTAACTTGCATTTCCTGGGAATCGAGACGCTAATGGTAGATTACAGGCGACGTTCGTCCTTGATTCTACCGCGGTTATTACCTCAAATTATGACAGGCTCAGAAGTTTCTCCATACTTTCTATGCATATGCAATGAATCGCATATGCTAAGCGGGCAAACCGTCGCAATATAAAAATAACTTTTCGTTTTCCGAGCTTCCAGATCGATCAAGGGTGCGAGCGAAATTTGTGGAAAATATATCCTACCTCGAGTTTACTAAAATCCATCTTTCATTCGAAATTAAAATAATTCTTACGTGATTCCAATAATCAACAATCCCGCTCTAGCGATCAAAACTCAATCGTGTTTTTTATCTATTCTTCATCATCAATTATCCCGGTTAGATTTACAGAAAATGTTTGCAAATCAACCTCGACATCCATACCGGGTTCTCGATATAAGAATTTATTCATCGACGAGCGAACGACACATGGTATTAGACGCCGTTTGACCTCTTTTAAGAAGACGAAGACGCTTGGATTTAACCCTAACAACTAGAACTCTGTTTAGTTAACTTACAGCGTGGATTCTTAAAACTGTACTGCAACACGCTTATCATGCCGTTAAGAAGTTATGTTGCACAGAGAGATACAGACACGAATACAGACACGCGTTTAAATATGTATGTTCTTTCCACAGCGAGTAACATATACACAGCTCGAATTGTACATAATGTCCTTATAGCCTCTTAAATCCTTTTAATTCTGTCTGACGATAATGTACACGCGTTAATTCTATTATAATAGAACTCCATTTATCTCGTTACACAGTTCAGTGAGTTCAGTTAACGCCTTTAGTACGTGTGCCATCATAAGATGACACACCTGTAAGCCGAAGGGCGTCATAGAACGACACGTTTTGTCGATCGTTATAAGGTTCTCAGCTTCAATTAACGATCTTCCTACCAAATATTTGTCATTCCGTCATTCTTTACTTATTTCCCAAAAGTTTTAAATAAATAAAGTTTTATTAGATCTTAGGACGCGTGTAAATTTCTACGAGTTTCGATACTCGTTTTATCACTGACGAAGCGTTATCAGGAGGTGACACTTCGTAGCTAGAGTCGCAACGAGGGAATCGATATTGTCGCTTTCAGTAACACGTTCACCGTGACAGAATCTGATTGTAACGCATGCTATAGACAACGAGACGATTCTGTTCTATACAGCGAATCGAAGGCTGATACAATATCGTTTCACGAGAAACTTTGTTTAACTGGTAAACTGAACTTTAAGGAGAGACACGATGATGTTCCTCGAGTGCTTTTTAACTGATATCGTCAGAAGGAACTTTGATATAGTTTATATTTTAAATCACATTTAATTGGTTGCTTTCTATATCTTTTCTGAAAAAATATTATCCTTTTATGCATTTCTAGTCAAAATTTTAATCAATAATCCATATAAAAAATATTCAAAATGTGCTATGTTATGAGCGCTTATTATATCTGATTTAAATGTAAAAATGTAAGAAAAATAAATAAAATCTGAATCTAATTTGTACGATGATCCTGATATAAAAACCATGAAAAAGACTATCAAATATAATTGAATATCTCAAATGTTTAAAATTGTAAAAAATACGTACTTCCAAAAAACTACCTTTGTAAACGTGACAAAAATAAACAAAAATATAATAAATATAAAAAATTCTCTTCATTGAAATCTGTCTACTTCAAACTCTATCAAAAAATATATATTTTCAGCATTGTTAAGTCGAACACTAAAGACTCCAGTATACTACTACTACTACTACTACAATTAAAAGAACGCTT